CTGGGTCCCATGCACACAGTACAGTACCTTCAACTTGATAAGATTTCTCGTTTTATCCACCCCATATGAACAATACGACAGGCCAGAAGAGCACCTTCGGTCATAACGTACAAACATTTTAACATATTCTCCAGAGCCTTACAAAGACCATAAACAGTTGCATATTTGTCACTTATATACTGATATTGCTATTTTCTCCACCAGCCCAATAGGCATTGGGTTTATGTCCAAACGATTAAAGTGTTTAGATACACAAACACCAGCAATAAGTAAATAAGTTTACAGCACAACAGAACCATTTATAGACAGCTGAATTTCTTCCTGTGAAACCTGGTGGGAAAAAGTACAAAATTCAGTCAGGAAAAGGCAAAAAAAAAAAAAACCATCAAAAGACAGAAGACAAATATGTAATTTACCTTCTATTTTGGGAAAAATGCTATTTAAAGTAAATTGCTATTTAAGCTGTGGACACACAGGTCCGTTCTTCTTCGCCTGCTTTTTCCCCTCCCACTCGTGATTTAAGGGCACATATACTGTATACAAAGTGGACAGATCAAGGGCTTGACCCCTTCATTGTTTAACCACCTCCATCTTCAGCCTGGGACACACATCGATGCCAAGGTGAGGTTTTCCTGCGGTATAATGATCAGTTTATTCTTGGAGAGGATGATTCCTGATATATCTTCTCTGCATATAAATTTTTAATCTGAATCCCTGTGGCCACATATTTATCCATATTTTTTTAATTAATATTGTACATTTAAAGGCACAATATATTCCTATTAAAAGATTCTTTCATAAACATCCAATGGACCTAAAACACAGCTAACCAGCGATCATAAAAAAAAAACACAATTCCTCTTGTAATATTCAATCCATACAAGAACCATTTCACACCTGGACCCACAGGCATTTCATTTTGCATTTACAAATAATAGACCCCATGCAAACAGCTAACAACAAACAAATCTTCCCTTGTTCAAAAGACCAGCAAAACTTGTTCTTGAAAACAGTGTTCTTGAACACGCACACCAATGATAGCTGTGCGATGTCAGTCAGATGATAACAGCCAATGACAGAGGTCGTACGAACAGTGGTGATAGCTGTCAGTCAGGCACTAACAGCCAATGGTAGGTGTTGAATCTACAGAAATGATAGCTGTCAGTCAGGCACTAACAGCCAATGGTAGGTGTTGAATCTGCAGAAATGATAGCTGTCAGTCAGGCACTAACAGCCAATGGTAGGTGTTGAATCTGCAGAAATGATAGCTGTCAGTCAGGCACTAACAGCCAATGGTAGGTGTTGAATCTGCAGAAATGATAGCTGTCAGTCAGGCACTAACAGCCAATGGTAGGTGTTGAATCTGCAGAAATGATAGCTGTCAGTCAGGCACTAACAGCCAATGGTCGGTGTAAATTACATACTATGAAAGTCCTACACATCAACTACATAAAATGATACAGTCCCAGATGCTCTTACTGCAGCAACATTTCAAACAGATAAAGTTCTTTCCCTTTGATATGTTGCTATATACATAAGTCACAGGATGTCCCTGGAATCATGTGGCCAAACCGGATCATTTATATTGGTTTAAAGCATCATAATGCGGAAACCAATGACTCCGCAACCAATGACCCAGTTTGAGATGACGTCTTTCAACATGATAGTTAAGGTCCTCAAGGTTTAAAATCCAGCTTATCTATTCAGTTTTCAAGCTCGCCCTTCCAGCATATAGACAATCAGGAGAGTGCGACGCATTCAAGAGGCCAGAACAAAAGCGGGTTACAGAAAACCAAGACTTGCTGTGCTGGTTCCCTTTTTTTTGCATAACAACCCTAAAGCACCCTAACTGCGATCAGTCCTGGTTATATTTGACCTGCTCATTCAAGCACCGATGCACATATTTATTTAGGTGCACGGGAATTTTATGTCAGTTGGAAGGATTAACAAGCAAAAGCCAGAAAAAAAAAAAAGATTTTTACTTTCAGCAGGAACCTTAATGATGGGAATATTGAACACGCTTTCTTTTTCACTGAAAAATATTCATATAAAAGTCGTTAATCAAACTTACAAAAACAAACACAGAAGCCAAAACAACAAGTTTAGTGTTATATGTCACATGCTTCAGTCATCACCGCTCCTTCCCTCCCTCTCTCTCTTCCCTCTCTCTCTCTCCTCTCTCTCTCTCTCTCTCTCTCGGTCTCGCTGTGGTTGAGTTGGCAGGCATTCATATGACACCTCTTGTATCATATTTTCGTCCTTCCCCTTCGGAATAGTGATGACTCCCCCTGCAACTGAGCGTATAACAACGGCCAGTAAAAACTTTACTGTTCAGCCACATAAGTAACAGCCAAAGACTGTTAGAAGAGGGAGAGTAAGGAAGCTTAAATAAAACCTATTGCCACACGTCCGGCCAAACCTTCTTAAAACAGCTACCGCTTTTCAACGTTAAACTTTTCAACAAGTGAGCTGGCAGAGAGCATTGAAAAGGTGCTTCCCCAAAGGTAACGTAATAGGGGCATAAACTAGTATCCTCTGACCACTAACCCAATACAGGGTCAGAGAGAAACTGGAGTCTTTCCAAGAGCAGGGCAGGGGGCATCCTAGGATGGGATGCCAGGCCATCCCAGTGCATGCCCATGCATGGACACACACACACACGCCCATACAAATTTGTATTCATACCTCATTAATTTCTATGGGAAAAACTATAATCCAACTCTAATCCAAATGTTGCTGCAGTAAGAGCATCCAACAATGACAAGCTAAACCTTAACCTAAACCTTACCTTAACCATAAGGAACCAAAGAAAATACAATACTTTAGGCATTTTTAGTGTTTTGATTGCAGTGACAGACTTTAGTAAAATTAGTTTATATTGTGGGGACCTGTAAAATGTCCCCACAAGCTAAAAAGTAACAGATTTTACCACATAGTGGGAACATTTGGTCCCCACAATGTGGTAAATATAAACCCCCACCCACCCACACACACACACACACACAATATGGGATGTGTCTTTTTTTTAGTGTAGGAACCTGAAACACTGAAGGAAAAAAAATGTTGGAATTGTTGAATCGACTTAAAATATTTAAAGTAATTGATCGCACTAAATAGTTGAAGTTGCCTCAATGTAAATAATTTATTCAGTTGTCAATTTGTAAAAAAAAAAAAATAGGTTCGACTATAAGTATAAATAAGAACGTTACATTTCAATGAACAAACTAATCATTTTCAGCTACTGGAATGAGAAGAAACTCACTGAACGAACAACAGCTTTTTTTTTACTCTTCAATGTACCTGGAAGAAATCCAGGGCGATCTAGGGGAAAACTCCACACTCAAAGCAAGGTGTGATTCAAAACCCAAACCCTGGTGCTGTGAGATGACAGTGCCATCCACTAAATCACTGCATCTTGGCATGACTGCTCAAACAAAAGCCTACAATGCCAACCTGGACCATAGGTGGTTCGTATGACCATATTCCTCCTAGAACAATCTGAGCTGCGCTACTTGCCTTGCCGGCAGTATCCCCCACTTGCGCCAAAGCTATTTTACAAATTGTCATGCTTCCAAGAACGAAGGTTATCCCGGTTTTCAAACGAGTATTTAAAGTTCCACACAAAATTGCAGTGGCTTTGAGGGCTACTTCAATGTAAGTGAGAAACAAACAATCTGAAGCAGATGGTTAACTGAAGAACAATTTGCAGTGGCTGGAGAGTAACCTTCTAGTAAACCGTCCCAGAGTAACTGGCTGTTTTTCTTTAAACTCTTATCACTGCATCACTGTGCATAACGGCTGCAGACACTTCCGCATCCTTTAAGAAAAAAATGACTTATGTTACAACAATAAAGCACTCCCAATAAAAATCAATAATAAATCATAACTATACCATCACTCCAACACAGTCGAGGTACAATCAAAAGAATACCGTTAAAGTGGCCTCTCTTTAATGGGAAATAACTTTTTCACTTCCATTAATGACATCAAATATCAAATAAGCCTATTGATTCGCCACTAAAACTGTGATTAACTCGATTTGCTCTACATCAATCGTGTTTATATAGGAAAACGTCCACTCATTAAAATAACTGAAACGATGTGATATAATTATAAAATCATTCATTAACAATTAAAGTAAATATAAGCAGTAAAATCCAAATTTTAATTCTAATAAATATCCAAATCAACCATCATTGTTTGCTGAACAGTAAAACAGTACATTATTCAAACGCCACCATTCACCAATGATAAAGATGAATCAGTTTTAATACTGATTTGTTTTAATTGTATTAAAACGTTAATCCAGTTCCTTTTAATGGCTTGAGTACTTTAGTAAAGCAGCCTGAAAGCTTTGGTGCTCAGAATTATTATTAAATCGATCTGAATTACGAAATACTTCCGTTTTATTTCACACGATTAGCAAGGAAGTGCTTATGTTATAAGTAACCACACTACCGTGAATTACGCGACAGTGGCGGATGAAAATGCGCCGGATTCATTTATAAAGCTCGTCCGACCAGCACATGAGATACCGGCGAGGTGGATCCCAGCTACGGCTCGCGTGGCCGGCAGACTCTCCTAAAACAGCTAGTTAGCCTATTGCCGACCTCATTTAGTGCTCAGATTTTACTCATCAGAGTTCATGTAAAAGTTTTCATAAATATATAAATGATGCTACACGGAAAACTGCGGCTTACGCTACCGTGTCCCCTAGGTAATGACATCACGGCTGTAAATGATTAATTATTGCAGCTAGCTACTTTATTATAACTAGCTGCCAAATGTATTCTTGCCTATATAGAGGAAGCCGCATTAAGCAAGCAGCTATGTTACCGTTATCAAGTCAAAGTTTTATTAATTGTATAGAATAATCCAATGTTGTTTTTTTTTAGCGTTTTTAGTTGTTCCGCTTTATTTAACCTACCTAAGTTAGAAAATAACTCTATACGTTAAGTCACATCGCTAAACCACACGGTCCATATATTCATTGAACTTACATGGATCTTCAGAGTGAATATAAAAATTCGGAATAGCATGTGCGGTAATCCAGCTCTCTTCACGTGGAGACAGACTCAGTATTGGCAGCTTCTAGCTTGCGGGACTTAATCGCGTTTATACAGGTGAAGCGAGTCTGTCTGCATTAGAGCGAAGCCGCTGAGTTCAGCGCCCCGTTCTGTACGCGCACACATGGCAGCCGCGGCTGTTACTGCCCCGCCGAGGCGGTGCTCTGCTGTCACCGTGTCCAATGGGAAGTTTGCCGAAACCGGAGTGACAATCTCGATATCGGGAAACAGGCACGTCATTAACTTTCTTTTCCTATTTTCCTTATCATTTTTAAGTCTCGTCTGCGATCCTGTAACGCAAATCAAATAATTTGAACGACTGGATGCAGCTATTTCCCCAGGTTACCTTTGATTAATGAAATCTCTTATTGTTTGGGGTGTTGTAGTTTTGCATATTTTATGGAAATCTAACGTGCCACTTTTCAAAATTTGTTTTTATAGGAGTGTTGAACCTAGATAGGTCTAAGTTGCCCTTTCGCCATTGCAATTTTATTGACGTGCCCGATAAAATAATTTCTTTAGTTCAACCAACATAAGTAATTTAGTGATGGAACACTGCACTTGTCATTAAAACTTATTTTAAATACCAAACCATAAAGCAAGGTGTATTTTAACATCGCTTATGACATACACTCTAAAGGGACAAGGTGCTCCAAAACTGCTATTTGCCAAAGAGGAACCACTCACACTACAGCAAGGGCGTGTAAAAATATCCACAGCTGCTACATAAATCAACTTAGAATCATCTTAAAAGGAGAATGCCTAAAACACCCTGCCGGTAAATCTCGGTGAATTAAAGAACGAAACGTAAATTGCTACTGTCACCTTACACTAGTGTCATTGGTGTCTTTGTATAGCGCTATTAACTATATACTTAATAACATTAATTTAAATAATTGTCTGTGGCAGTATAATCAACATATGAGGATCATGCAGTAATGATTGCATGCTGCTGTTTATTAGAATCGTCATTGAATTAAAGTAGCTGAGTCAGAAGGGACGAAAAGATCAAAATATTTTTAAATTCAGCTTGTTCCCCCACCGCCGGACACACAGAACAGAGTCATTGTCACAAGCTCATTGTCACAAGCGCCGTCAAATTATTATCCATTTATGCATTTTCTCACGCATCGACTTACTGGCTGTTCTATTTGGAATCGAAGTGCTGAAGCGGAGGTTTCTGTAAATGGACTGATTAAGTCAGCACATGCAGCCTTGTTTTGCATTTGATGACAGAGCCACCTTAAGGACTGTATGAGAAACGGCAACTGCATTAAGGGAATAATCTGTTCCTGCGTATGAGCTTTGCTCAATATTAGGACCAAACTCCAAAACTGTGAGAGTTTATTATTTTTTGGCAAAAATAATTTATTGTAAAAATATCCTTTCCCTTTAATCATGAAAATAAAAAGGTAAGACGATAATACGTACAGCTCGACCCTCAGCGGTGGGAAAATGATGATGACGTCAACCTTCCCCCTTAATGTTCCAAAACGTCGTAGAAGTCAATGGTTTAATAAAAGGTCAGTTATGCGCTAAAAATCATGTTTTTTTTCATCATAATGTTCATTTTCATTAGTAGCTGCGACCTGCCATTCAGTGATGACATATTTCTATACGGCGCCTTTATTTCTCGTGTTTCTGTATTTTGAATTATTTCGCTTACTTTACTGCTGCCAAAACTTCTTTTACTAGCTAGGTGTAGGATGTACGACATTTTTATGTATTTTTCGGATTATGAATGAAAACACCAGAATATTACTTGTAGCGATAAGGAATTCCGATGCATTTTTAAGTTTAATTTAAATGTTATGTTTCAGAAAATTCAAGTTGTCTTTAACCACGCGATATGTAGGCCTACAATATCCTCATCAAGGAAAAATAACTTTTTAATCACGTTTTTAGTTTAGGCCTATTTTGTATTTCTTTAAGGTGGTAACACAACCTGCCAACAAATGAACATACTGCATCTTTAAGACTGAGATCGTAAATACATATCACGTCAGGTTTGGTCATGGAGTGCGTTGCCGAACCTACCACACAACGAAACACCTTGAGAACCCGATTGACGACCCCCCAGGCCGACATGCGGTCCATACCCACCCTCTGGAAATGGCCATATATATCTGCCATAGCCCGGTGTTCCGTGGGCGTCCCCTTGCCCTGGGCCAGCCACTCGGGTCATCAGCAATGAGGACGCCAGATCACCCGCAGGGAAACGCGCCAAATGGCCATACTGCTATAACTGACGCTCACTCACAATGCAGGTAACGTGCCTCATTCGGGGCTCCCTGAGCAATCGCTCGTTCGACGCAAAGCCAAACAAGCGGTACCCAAGGATTCTATAAATAGACACAGTATACCAAAGGACCCAGTCTTTGTCTCAGGTCACTGAATAGCGCCCATATCTCGCATGGACACTACATTTGGTAACTAATACATATGATAACTATTCAGTATCCCCCGCATACCTGAAAGGGCTCCCCCTCCTCTCTGATTCTAATGTAACCCCAAACGATGCTGATTACGATTAAAAAAGGACACTTACGTGCTTGCGTGTGTGTAACTGAACCTGACAACACAATGGTAATGATGCTTGAACACGTGTAGATGATCGGAGAGGCTGTGACATTTTTGAGGCGGACAGCCGATATTCACATGTACACACACTCCGTAGGACACCAGGCAAGGTAACTTTAGGTCTTTGGATTGGAGGGCAGAAACCTACACAACAGTGAGATGATGGTCGCTCCAAGCGCACAGAGGGGTGGTAGGATTTAATACCGCCCCCCGGCACACACACACACACACGTACGCACACACTTACAGCCACTGTGGTGTCCGGAAAAATGTGGGGTTGAAATAAAATCAACAAGGTTATTGGATAAAATCAACAAGGTTATTTCCTATCTGTACAAAATAAGAATAATTGCACTGGATATACAATAAATTACATACCGTTTGATGTGGCCTCTCAGTTGAATTAATTTCTGTGGACACTTTAGATCCGCGTTTTTTGTCCTTATTTCCAGAAATATAGCTCTACTTCATAATACTATCAATCCAGCATTAAATGCGGCCATGTACAACTAGAGAAGACACTACCCAAAAAATTAAGCTAGTGGCAAATGATTTGACTAATCCACAAGAGCAGGCCTATATTTACAGTTATGTTTAACGACTGACAACTGCTACCTTTCTGTAAACTCCATACTCCAAACTACTACAGTGAGAAAGCGAGTAAGGCGGATGGTTCCTCGCATTTTACTGGAATGTTTAAAAAAATCAATATCACACCTTAGATAACGGACAGTGTCATTAGAGATAAAAAAAATCGGATTTTTTGTAGACTAAATTATGCGTTGTTTTAAAATGAACATTTTAGAGAAGTGATTTAATTGTAATTAATAATATAATGTGTTTAGAAGAGCAGGGTTCGTTGGATATGCTGCGCGCATTTAAATACTAGACATATGATAGACGATGGGATGAGTATCGTCTGCGAACAGATCAGCCACACAAGGGCGAGCGCGGGTTAGAAAGCAGTCAGTCATCATCCGCGTGGCATCCATCCATGTTTTGAAACCGTTTATAACCTCATGTATGTAGGTTCGAACGCCGCTCCCCGAGGTGTGAGACAAGAGCGCCCCCCCCTCATTGTACCAGTTGTAGGATTTTATACGTTATGCAAAGTAACATAGAATAAACTTGCAGTAGCTGCATCTCCTTTATTCACAAATAATTTTAAGCACTGAAATTTGTGTTAAGAGGTATGTTTATATTAAATACCTATTTCTTGTATGACTTAAAAAATTTTATAAAATTACGAAAGGCTTTCTGGGCTGTAGAAATACTAGACACGCAGTTGACAGGTTAGGACCGGAGAAACTGCGCAGAAATGCAGACATTACGTCAGCGGCGGTGGGTCGGCCCACCGCGTTGTTCCGCAAATCTCATTGGTCGACTCCGCGGCGTTCTGCGTATTTTATTGGACTCCTATTCTAGCTGGCTCATTTTGCGTAAATAAAGTAAGGTTACTAAAAGCATCTTTGGATACATAATTTGCAGAAGCGGACGAAAGAAAACGTCGTCACTTCATAGCGGAAAATCTGAAACACAGGTACGGATTGCATTTGTATTTTACATTCCTTTTAGTGCGTCATTATATGAGGTACAATGTACGGTGATTTAAAATTTGGTCGTATATTAGGTATGTCTATTTGCATTCTTTGATTCGTTCTTAAGTAATTTTGTATGTGAATCATCACTTTATAATTTTTCCCTTGCACGTTTCTTATCTCCACCAAAGAGCCTCCTGTAAGGCGCAGACCGCAGGCTGAATGATGCTTGATCCCAAGGCAAGGATGATGCAGCTTGCGGCGCTTGTCCTGTGTATTTTTCAACTTCATGGCGTCGCCCCTCAAACCACCGTTTCGCCGGAGCCGGAGCCGGAGGCCACCCGCCCCGTAGATGCTAATCTGGCTGAGGGACACACGACCTTGAACGACATGTTCAGGGAGGTAGAGAAATTAATGGAGGACACGCAACATAAACTGGAAGAGGCGGTCTATAAGGTATGGTGAAAGCAGTTCTCCTGTTCTCTACAATGCTATTATAATTTCCACTGGGACGATGCACTTTTTCCATCACCGCGTCTTTAACCTCCTATAAATCAAAGTTAAACTGTCCCCCTCCTGGCAAGTTACTGATAAAAACACTCAGAGATAGTTGGAATTATTATTAGTTATGGAATTATTATTTTTATTAGAATTTACTATTGAGATCTTTGAACTTTGCATATTGACTCATAATTGTTTCCAGTAAATTGTGCTGTGTATTGAATTTATGGATCTTCTGCGGAATTGCTCAAGTGCAATATTGATAAACATCTTGCAGTTTATATTATACAAGGTGAACAGGGCATGGGTAAATACATCTGGCTGTGACTTATTGATTGGGTGTTTACACTAGAGATTTGCTCCTGAAATTTCTCCTCTTATAGATGGACAACGAAAGTGCTAAATCAATGCTCTATGTGCATGACCTTCCGTCTAATTACCAAGAGGAGAGCGGTGCAGAGCATGCAGCTGGAAATCAATCCGTCCATACTGGCGAGGTCACGGGTGAGGTAGGGTGACCCCTCATTGCACACTCCATTTACCAGAGACACACTGTCCATTATTACCTCATTATTAGTGTGCATAGGTATGGAAAAGGACAGAGGAAGAATTAATGATTTAATTCAATGAGCAAAGTACTGTTTTAATCAATAGGGGTCTGTGTGGTTCCCCTTACTGTCTCTGTTAGTTACCCCTTAGCCACAATTAGCTGTTTGTTTTCGTAGGTGTTTATGCCCATAGCCTTTTTCCCTAGGTAACGGACAACAGTACTGGGGCGACACACTTCTCCAGAAGCCTGACCCAGCCAGACGGGCGAAAAAACGAGATCGATCGGGTAAGCAATGTCACTCACCGAGATCATCCTGTACCGGAGTTCATCGACAATGTGAGTTCTGTGAAACGATGAGCTTCCACTGCAGTCCAGGGGTACGGAAGCATCCTCAGTATAGATCCTTTGCCGACTCTTCTTACTCGTTATTGGATTCTCAGGAGGAAGTGGGGCTTTCTGCGGCAGACCTCTGGCTGTCCGCATTATTGTCCTGGCAGCTGGACCAACAGCCGTCTCTGTGGTAGCCATCAAATACCATTGTTGTTTATTATTTAGGCATTTTTTTCCAGGGTGAGCCAAACAACCTGGCATAACTGCATTCAGCTAATCATGTTGATGCATTGCAGATGTGTTACTGCCGTAAAGTGTTTTGTTAAAAAAATATCTGACATCCAGCACTTTGAGTCTGTAAGGGCTGTACTGACTATGCTTGTAATTATAGTCTGGAGAAATAAAACCTCTTTTAGGACAATTGAGCCTTTATGAAGGACAGTGTTCCTCTTTCTGGGTGTCTCTGTTAGTTACTACCCTTGAATTATTAGAAAAAGAGGCATATTTATTTTAGCGTTTCAGACTTTCTGGAATTCTCCTGTTTAGGGGACTATATACAAAATGTGGGCTTCTGTCTGGTATAATAGGGCTGTAAATGCTGTTATCTGGGCCAGTGCCTTAGCACAGGAGGCCAGCGGGAAGTTCATACAGTAACAGCATTAGCTGGAGCCCCCTGAGGTACCATCACTGAAAGCTTCTGCAATAAAGCACCTGGAGCCGATGGATGGAAAGTGGGCTGTTGAAGGGGCCGCGTGAGCGCAGCACGCCTCAGACGCTCGGCACTGACGTGGCACGCTGCTGTTTTCCTGCTCGATTACAAGTGAAACTTTTTCCACTCCAGACATCCATGCCCCTCCTAGTTTCAGTACAACAGATATTATAACAAAATTCACCCCCTCCGGGCACTGAACACATGCCCCCACCTTTCCCAGTCAAGTGACTCGCTTCTTATTTTGAGCGAAACACTGTGAAGGAAAAGAGTAAATGACCAAAGAACTGTAGCAAAGTGGTGGTGCCACCCTAGGGATGCCGTCCTCTGCCCCCCCCCCCCCGTCTGGCCCGGCACATTCCGCAGGCTGTAAAACCGCGCCTAAGTCCCCCCATCTGGCGGGATGGAAAAGCCACTCGGACGCTCTGCAATCTTACTTTATTTATTATGTTTTCCTCCCTGGGAAAGAATGGGCCAATATAAGCACAATGGCGGAGAGGAAACGCCGGGGTGCGGGGGGGGTAGCCGGTGACTCACTGGGGAGCCGCGCCGATTTGTCCTCGTCGTAAGAGTGTTTCGGGACTGAGGGATTGAGTGGGTGACCATGAATGGATGCATAAGCTGGGGCTGTGCCAGTATGGTGCTATTAAACAAAATCAAGCAGCGATACGCCTTGCACTGTACCCTGGCTGCACACACTCAGGGGGAAATTAGAAAATTCCACCTAGGCTTTCAGTGATTGCACCAAGAATAATCTAAGAGAACAAAACAATGTGTTTTGATGATGGCTTTATAACCAGCTTAACTCTGCCTCACAGCGGCTCCGCATTTCTGATTATTGAGCTTGGTTTCCTTCTTTGTGTCCAGTTTTTTGGAGACATAGATTAATTACCGAGAGGCAGGGGGCCCTACAGCACATGTGCTACCAAAGCCACTATTTCCTGCTTCTCTGAGCAGGACATGTGGTAAATCCTCTGACAAAGTTTCATTTTAAAAGGGAACTGAATGTAATCTATTACTGAAATGAAAAATGATATATGTTACTGAGACATTATTATTGCTATTACTGAAAAAGCTTTTTTTAGTTTTATTTAAAAAAGAAAAAAAAAACAACTATACTTGAAACCACTTCATTAACATACCAGAGCATGATTTCCCCAGACTGTTGCACTGAAATAGCCTTCCTTCCTCCCTATAAAGTAAAAGAGGGGGGTTTCTAGCTATTGAAAAGACCAGGGGTAAGTCAAGTTTACCTGGGGCTTGACTGTTTTTTTTTTAAGTATGATAATTGGCATCAGGGCTAAAATACTACAGTGATAGGAACTAACGACTCCCATGAAGAATGAGAATGTTACAGTCCTAAAGAATGTGTGGTTTGCAATCGTACTGAAGTTAACAAGGTTTTTCAAGGCACTGTCTGTTTTCTAATCATGGGAGTTTCCAGATTTCCTCTAGAAACACTTCATAGGAATTTGCAGATCAAAGAATTTCTCCATTTGAAATTGGGGAGCAGATTTGCAAAGATTGCTTATGTGTACTACTGAGAACTACTTTTATGGCATCTTGATCGAGGATCATGTATTGGAAAATAACAGGATACGTTGGTTGAATCCTGGAAAATAGGTCACTTTCCCACTTTCCATGTGGTTCATGCCTTTACTCATAGTTGAAACTTGTTTTTTTTTTTTTAGCTAGTAGGGTCTTACTACATTAATTCTGCACTTCTACACTTTGCTTGTCACTTACTTCTGTGAAACCTCATCTTCCGGAGAGAGAGTAGATTGCGTTTTTGGGCTTGAGGTGATTGATGCATTGTATTCTTGCAGGAATGCCTCATTGATGAGGACTGTTCTGTAGGCCACTACTGCCTTTACGACATCCTGCAGTCCAGGTGTCTTCCCTGCAAGACAGTCGACGCGGTAGGTGCCTCCCCAGTGTACGTGACATTCATATCCGGAAAGCAATTTGTTCAACTTCTTGTTGATAAATGGATTACAAGGCAGCCCCTCCGCGGGATTCCAGACATTCTCCCCTCCCAACTGAACATCTGGCTAAATGCCGCTAAAGGAGAAATCATGTGCAGAAGGCATCAAGATCATTCGACACGATTAATCTTGTATGTAGTAGTGTGCTTCCAAAAATCCTAGCTGAGGTGAAAGTCTTAAGGGTGCCGTCACATCACTTCCCATTTAACGTGAAGCAGCCCGCTTGACAGATCGCTCATGCGGTCCCATTCCTCCGTCATGTGGAAGATGTGGTGAGAAGAAAAAGATGAGACACGTCACCCAGACAGACCACCCACTTGGATGGGATGGTTTTGGCCGGTAGGAATGGAAAGCAAAGGCGAGAGGTGGCCTGTAATCGGTAGAGCACACACGCTTCACAGGGTCACCGAAAAGGCTCGCCAGATTCTCATTGCCAAGGGGTGTCAGGGTATTTTTATACAAAGCCCTGCTTCATGCTACTTTCACATGTGAAACTAGGATTTTCTCTAAAAGCTCCGGTGCCTGGACTAACAAGGAACACAAGGGATCTCGAAGTTCTGGATTTCGCTACACTTCATTACTTTTGTTTCAGTTCAGGTTCTGGGGTGCTACGACAACAAACTGCGCATGTGTGTGTGTGTGTGTGTGTCTCAGGCCTGCACGAAGGATGAGGAATGCTGTGCGGGTCAGCTGTGCGTTTGGGGCCAGTGCTCGGAGAACAGCTCCAAAGGAGAGGCGGGGACCATCTGCCAGTACCAGAGCGAGTGCAGAGCCAACCTCTGCTGCGCCTTCCACAAAGGTACGGCTTCTGGGATTGTCGCTCGCGTGCCGGGGAATTCCACACATTCCTGATCGTTCGCAAAGCAAGTGATCAGCTTCGGCCACCCCCTTGCAGTCAAGCACTGAACCAGTTCACTAAACTGGTCATTGATTCCATAAATGGTCATCTGTTTGATTTTACTCAGCAGTTTACAGTCCTTTGGAGACCAAGCCACTTTGTGGCCATCCAGAAGTAGCACTGAAATAGATTGTAAACATGTCAAATAAATAAGTATTCATGATTATTTTATGTGCTTTGTTTAATATGTATCATTTGCAAAATTTAATAAATGTATTTAGCTGAATGACTTCTTGGGACTGCGATGGGTTGGCGCCCCATCCTGGGTTGTTCCCTGCCTCCGGGATAGGCTCCGAACCCCCGCAACCCGGAATAGGACAAGTGATTACTGAAAATGGATGAATGGCTGTGTGTGGAACTGAAAACCTGGTTGCCAAAACTCCAGAAATTCAGTCAATTCTAACAGATTCAGTTCAATCTCATGTTTTCTGCTCTGTGGAGCCAAAAACAACAATCAGACCTGACTGCTGCGCCCTGCCCCCCCACCTCCCCAGCCTTGCTCTTCCCAGTGTGCACTGGCAGGCCCTTGGAACGGGAGCGCTGCCGCATCCCATCCAACCACCTGATGGAACTGCTGTCCTGGGATATGGAGGGGGAGGGGCCTCGGGAGTACTGCCCCTGTGCCGCGGAGTTACAGTGCCAGCCGCTGGGGTAAGGGGCCCCTGTCACATTCCCTTAGTGTACTAAATTCGTCGTCGTTCATTAGCCTGCATTAATTTCCATCAACAATAGGCCGCCTGCACATTTAACAGCTCTTGCCCAGTTTAATATTGTTATTCGTCAACAAGAGCATCGTGCTAACAGTGCAATCACTTTGGATAAAAGCATCAGATAAATGAGCTCATGTAAATTTAAAATAGCAAAGGCTAAGCATCATGGCACATTTGAAATATCACAGCTTTGCATAACATTACAGAAAAAAATCCTACGTTAAATTCCATGACTAGAATGTTACAACACGACAAAAAAGTATCCTCGATGTGAATTTTTATGGTAAAGACTTAGTGACACCTAGTGGACAGAATTTGAAATTCTCAGCAAAAAAATACTGCAGTACAGTGGTACCTCGGCTCACGAACTTAATTCGTTTGAGGACTCAGTTCGTGCCAGGAAAAGTTCGCCATCTGAATCAATTTTTCCCATTTAAAATAATGTAAATACAAATAATTTGTTCAAACCTCAGAAACACTGAATTTTTTCAATTTTTTATGTTTTACTGTGACCAAGAATATAGACTTAAATCAAAATAACCTTAATTATACACCAATAATGCTAAATTAAATAAAACAGTACAACTGAGCATTCGCTTGTTGGCGGGCTGGTCGCTCGAAAGACGCCAAAACACGGAAATGAACCACAAAACATCCCCCCAAAAAAACTAAATCAACATTAAAAGACATTAACAGTCAAAAACAATAATTTCAAAAATGTTATTTTTTTTTATTATACTGTACCTTATTTTCATATGCCTAAATTTTTTATGTACATTTCATGATGCAACGCTTTGTATGGCGATGAACTTCTTTGTTTGTACTGTAAACAAACAATACGCGTGTCACGATGCACGGAGCGGGGAAACACGAGCTGGAATCCAGGAAGTCAAAGAACATGGGGTTTATTCAGGATCATACACAGGGAACCACGCAAGAACGTTGAATAACATTACAATGACCGGACTGGGGAAACAGCCTGAAACGCAGACTTAAATACAGGACTAATGACAGCAACTGGAAACAGCTGATCGCGCAGGGATTCCACATGAGGTAACGAGGGGGCGTGGCACACGGGAGGAGCAGACGAGCAGGGCATGAGAACGCAGTTGCCACTATGTGTGAATGGAGAATATAACACTTAAATAGGAGTTACTTAATTTATGTTATTAATGAAGTATTGTAATCTTATGTGTAGATATATGACTGTTAAAAACCATCACAAACATGTTTATCAATCCTTGAAAGGTTCCGCTTGAACGTTCTCTCTCTCTATTTTACATACATCTACAAGTTTTTTATACATTCCACAACCGTTCGTGGGCATAATGTACACTTCTTCGTGTTTCGGGTGGTTCTTTGGGGTGCTTTTGGGGGATGCTTGTGTGTTCGCAGCCTGAAACAAGGTTCGCGAACCGGTACAAATTTTCAAACATCTGGTTCATAACCCAATTTGTTCATGAACAGGACTGTTCGTGGGTCGAGGTACCACTGTATTTGCTATAATGACCAGTTTAGAACAGGATTGTGATTCCTGCAGGCACAGCTCATGTGAGCTTTTATTCCTGTCGATAATCACCCAGTACATAGTGAAGGACTTGCATTTGGATTAATGTGAAGTGTATGGATGTGGCATTTTGCTAACCTGCCATTCCTCCCACCACAGAAGAGGCTCACTGTGCCTGAGACCGCAGAACTCCTCCAGCGAAGACCTGGACGACACATTTTATTCTGAGACGGACTACATTGTATGAATGGTGCAGCCAAAGCCGGAAGCTTGCAGTATGAATCTGAACGATGCGTCCAGCTATCTGACCAATGCGTCCGAAGTTGCACCCAGGCCAGCAACTATATTCAGTTGCACTATTTATTGAGCTTCTCCCATCCCTTTAAAGATGCTTTCATTAATTTCCACTGTTCATAGAAACATCTTGCAGCGTGTAAGTTGTGCTTGAGATTCAGTGCAGAAACGCTAGCCTGCGACTCCGGAAATCTGACCAAAGCTATAGATCTGTGTATATTTTGCCAGTGTCATGTAAGATGAAAGTATCCTTATCTTCTATGTAAGCTTTTGATTGCGGAACCAACAAAGAAATGCAAATGAGGACAAGGGGGTATGTACGTCAGTGATGTAATTTAGTATTTCCCTAAGTCAAGAAGCTACACACAGATGGGTGTGTGTATGTGTGTACGTATAAATATATATGAAGCAGCTACAGGGTTCTGTGTGAGTTCAGACATGGTCAATAAATAATGACGAAGGCACTTCAGAAATTTAAGAAAGTCTCTGTAGCACTACAGAAGATGCTGCTGGTGAAATACCTCCATTAAACTTAAGATAAAATGCTTTGGAAAAGCTTCTGTGGTGTTTATTTTCTAATCAGTTAAAATAAAATTAGATGATCATAAATGCTGGATGTGTACTACCTACAGTGCTGATGGTAAAACAGGATAATTACCATTTCAAGGAGAAACCCCTTTAAATTTCCTGATTAAAAGAAAAAAAATAAACCAATGAAATGTTTTCTGAAAGACTAAGGACAATGATACTTTTCTGGAGTCAGTATTGAAAGGATATAATTTATGACAGAATACCGCATTTATGAAAAAAAGCATTTTAATTAGTTCTAAAATCATTAGCTATGTTCACACAAGATTTTAACTGCAAAATAAAATTTTGTATTGGCATTTTCTATGGTGAACAGCCTGTGGCGGATGTAGGGCCCCCAGTTCATGCCCGCCATTCCAACGCAGGTCTCCGCGTGATTCAGCAGCGCGACACACCACCCCCCCCCTCGCGCACATCCCGCAAAGGCGGGGGAACTCCCCACGGAAGCTCACAAACTATCCAAATAAGATGCAGCTTCAACTCATCGGACACACGCCAGGTCTTACACAGAGGGGGCGGGGGTAGAGACAGTAAACACTAAATTAACATAAGGTTAAATAGTTCAAAAAAAGTGCCAACTCACAAGACCTAATGCTCATTAAGTCTGAAGCAAAATAATTTACAAACAAGATTTTTTTTTTTTGCTTTTTTTTTTTAAGCCTTGGTAGTATGACAACTAATGTGTACCAGTACTGCCAAATTAAAACAAAACCTACCAGAATTATCTTTTTTTTATTTAAAAAGCAGGTGTTTATGGGTGTAGTCATAGTGCAGTGTCATAATTGACTTCCGTGTGTCTGCAGTGGAAGTAGGGTAATACACCTCAGGGCGGCTGGCCAGGGCACCGCCAATAAAGTGGACAAGTTAAAATGCTGTCAGACAAAGCCGTGACTCTCGAATCAGGAGGGGGATTTTAACACGAAGGTAAAAAACCCGAAGACCAACACCACACGTTTTTACTAGAATGAAGACATGCGGATGGAGTCAATGAGAGAACAACTCAGAATGGTTTGATATTGATGCTCAGCAATCTCCCATAAGCCTTGGACGTTGGGGGCGTTTTGCCTGGTTGCTATATAGGGAACTTGGAGCATCTTAGAGGTATATGCGCCGTGTGGGAAAGGAAGGCTCTGACGTAATACGGGTAAAAGCAGCACGAGACAGACACTGCCACGCTCTTCAACTGCCAGTGCTCACTGTTCAACGCACGCACCCATCTCGGTAACGCTCAATTGATTTGTCTATGGTTTTCGATTTTTTTTATTTTTATTTTTTTTTTCATTTTATTGAATAGCTTTTGCACTTCCCTTTAAACTTTACAGTATATTACACTATAGTGCACAATAGTATACTGAGCCACTCTAAACCTCAGTGTGAAGGGTGGGTCAGCCGCATAGCGCTGGTGACGTTTCCATCCCTGCCGTGGTGGGGCTTCACAGCGGTGGGGGGACCCAGCTAAGCCCATGGGCGAGCCGGGCGCTCAGTCCTGGCCCGGGTCCTTGCTGGGGCCACCGTCAAGGTAGATCTTCAGCGCTTTCTCTTTGCGGGGCGAGTAGCTGACGCGCTGACCAGTCTTCAGCAGCCGGCTGCTCTCCTTCTTCATCAGCTCGTTGCGCTCCTCCTCTGACAGCTCCATGGGCTCCTCCGTCTTGTCCCTGTGGGCGGCACGAGGTCGTGAGATTCATAGCTTCCTGTCAGCATGTTGGCAGCTCATGGTTGAAGTAAGAAGCAGTAAATCAAGCCGACCGTGGCAATATCAACTGCACTGGATACAACGGATACAAAAGAAATGAGTCCAGGGATTTTATGAGCATCAATACAAGTACCGCTGATATTCACGTCAAGCCAAGTTCAGTGTGTAAAAATGTAACTGTAGAGCACATTTCCATAGCTCACTCAGGCCATGGGATATGTTTGAGAAAATTTCTGTGGATTTAGTGAGCTTTGGAAATTTAACAAAAGTTCCTTGTTGGATTACATGATGATTGCATGAGTTTAATAAAAGGAATATTAGTTAAAATACCTGGTTTGATTGCAAAAACCAATTGTCTTTTTATAGGTGCCCCCAAAACTGCCATATTTACATGGGGAAAAGTATCACAGCGACATCATCCTGTCCAATAAACGGCGTCAAAAATAAAGCTGAAGAGTTTCTACCTGTAAAAAACTACGGCCCCGTCGTCGCTGATATAGAGGGGCCAGACGTTGAGCGTGGAAACCTTGGGATTCCAATCCAAATCCTGATGGACCTCCAAAACTGAGATGTCACAAGGAAACGTTCCTCTACCCTGCAGAGGAAATAAAGGTATGTAGGTGCTACACATTTAATACAAAGCCAAGCTAACATAAAATCTAAAAAATTAAAGGGCAACGGTGACATACCTTAGCAAATTCTAAATTTTCAACTGCAATTCCGCTCAACTGACTGAGCTGAAAAAGATTTCAAACGGCACATTTGACACAGAGTAAATAACGCTTTGCATCTTCTAAGGCACATTTCCACGGAGGAGTCCAGGACTTCAGGAAGGTCTACCCACCTTCTCCTTGAGCTCATCCACGCTGCAGCTCTCCAGCACCACCTCCTGGAAAGGCTCCAGCTTCATGCGGGCAGGACTCCACCGGCGGGTCAGCACCGCCAGCTGGGACATGGACTTCATCTTCTCTGGCTCTATAGAAACGCAAGACAGTGAGGGGGGCAATCAGGGAGCCCCCCCCCATCGAGGATGCTATAATAACCAGTATTACACCTGTGGCAAATGACGGATTGACAACAAAGCAGTTTTTTATTCTCTATAGGGGCAACTTCTGAATATGTACCATTTAAAATTTCTAGGAAGACCTCCCAGTTACTGGAAATATTAATATCTTCCTCATAAACATGGTAGTCCAGAAATACAGTCCCAGGGTTCTTCCAAGTCTTCTTCCTTAGCCGAAACCTGAGGACAGAAAAACCTGGTAATGTTTTACTCATGAATCATCGACTGATTTTCAGGTGCATCCAATACTAAATCCAAGCTCCGTGACTCACTGATATTTTGCTACAGAAATGCACACATGCAACCACCCCCTATACGGGCACTTCCGCATCCTCCCACAGTGGCACTGACCTGTCGATGCTGAGGGTCAGCTTACACTGCTCTCTCAGCAGAGGCAACAGCTCCTCTTTTGACTGCCTCACAGTCATGCCCTTGGCAAACACGGCATCCAGCAGGAATTTACAGGGCTTGGGAAGAATAGACAGTGCTCACTGCTAAACACACTGCACTAGAAATGTACTTTACACAAGGCCAAAGATGTACACAAAATGTAATTACCTCTGGATCATTCACCAGTAGTTGGTACACCTTGACTCTGTACTCGCCTTTTTTCAACGCTCTTCCTAATCGAATTGTTATCTGTTTAGATATTAAAAAAAAACACTTAGAGATAAATCTGGCATTGAAAATACCCCTCCCTTTACTCATACCCTTATGGCCCTTGTGAAAAAGATTCAGTAAATCTAACGAAGAAGGCTTAAGGTTGTTTGACCTCAACAAGAGACTTTACCTTGTTGTCGTCAGAGAAGGAGGAGAGCGTCTCGTTCAGCCGCACGCTCTCGAACTCCTGGTTGTTGGCATAGACCCGGAAGACCTTGAACTGGGAGGACAGGACCCCTACAAAGGGCTCGAGTTTTTGTTTGAAAGCAGCTAGTGTTATTCTCTTATCCACGTAGACCAGCAAACCTGAAAAACCAGGTTCACACTCTTTAATTTCACCATACAGTTACACTTCAGAAATATTTCCAAGTTATGTAATTTAAATCGGTGTTTCTCAATCTGGCCCTTGGGGACACCCAGAGTCTCCATATTTTTGCTCTGTTCCAGCTCCTGAGCAAAAAACACGGACTGTATTGAGGTCCTCAAAACCCGGGTTGAGAAACACCGATTTAAAATACAACACACTACAAGAAACATGTTCTCTTCAGAAACCGTGAGCAAGGTCAGAAAGGCACAAAGCAGGTTCTTAAGCAGATGACTGCTTGGCCTGTTCCGCTCTCATATATATCTGATCTGCAGCTATATTATCATTCATCTTAACTTATCCAATCCACAGTCACAGTGGGCCTAGAGCCTATAACCAGGCAGAATAGGGCATAATGCAGGGGCACACCTGCTTTAGACCAGGGGTGGCCAATCTTATCCGCAAAGGGCCGGTGTGTATGCGGGTTTTTGGGATAACTTGTAGGTCAGTTGTTCAAACCCAGGTGTGAGGACTCTTCAGCCAATCAGTCCTCTAATTAGTAATCTAATTTGGGAGTTGCAGCAAAAAACCCGCATACACACCGGCCCTTTGCGGATAAGATTGGCCACCCCTGCCTTAGACAGTATGTCAATCTATCACGGGACAAGTACGCACAGACACATGCACAATGGGAGAAACAAATTCAACAGATTGCATGTCTTTGGACTGTGGGAGGAAACCACATCACAACACAGGGAGAAAACACACACTCACAGACTCACTCACTCACAGAGCTTGGGAGGGATCTGAGCCCCAAACGCTGCATATATGAAGCAACGGTGCCACCCAATGAGCTAGACAATTTACAGCTGAAACTATAAGCAAGTTCCCGCAACCAATAAAACACACACAAAGGGGATGATATAAAAATAATCACATTATCATGCATTTCTGTCTCCTCAAAGCAACTCCAAAAGCCCCTAACGTTGCTAACGACTGTGAAAACTACCAAGCAGACTCAACGCACATTTGCTGTGGCCGTCCCCAGACCCATCCTCCCGTGAGTAGGGTTCGGCCCGAAAGTACATGTAGTGGGCTTCGCCCTTGCTCTTGCCGCTCTCGTCGTACTCGCTGTCGGTGCCCGAGTCCTCCTCGGCTGTGTCCCAGGTCTCCTTCTTGGCCTCGTGGGCCTTGGATCGCCGGCTGCTGGTGATGCTATGGCTGATGAGGCCGTTGGCCAGCGGGATGGGCCCGCTGTCGGCGTTGCACAGCGTGTCGCTGCTGTGACTGGAGCTCAGGATGTCGCTGTCCACCGAGCTGGTGCTGCGGTCGTTGTTCACATCAGAGTCTGAGCGCTCCTCCGACGGGAACTGGTTCTCTGGGTCGGAGGCTCCGCCGCTGCCGCCGCCACCGCCGGCTCGGATCCGCTTCTCCAGCTCCCGGTTATCGGCGGTGGAGATGGAAAAGGCGGAAGACGCCTCCAGCGATAGGGAGTCCACGTGTTCGGCGTCGCTGGCGTTCTGGCTGTCGCTGTTGCTAGAGGCCTGCAGCTGCTGCTCCTGCTGGAGGGACAGGTTCTTCAGCTTCTCCGTGCTCTCCTCCAGTATGGCCTCCACAGACTTAGTGTTGCTTTTGGCCCCCTCCAAGGGCTCCTCGGACTCAGCCCCCACCTTTTGGCTACAAGTTCTACTGGCCAGCGAGCCTGGTGACTGCTCCGGCAGCGAAACAAACAAGCGGATGGTGTTTCCATGCCGGTCCAGGAGTTTCCACAAAAGTGAGTCGGTGAATGACATCTGGTGATCCAGCGAATCGGAGCTTTCCACAAAAACCTAGACGAGCAGAATTAAGAGCATGCTTACACCACCTTCAAAACACGGAAAAACAAGTCACACAGCAAACACTAGAGTGGAACTTCAAAGTACATATTCAAAGTACATACTCCTCTCTCTAGCCTTCCTCCTTAACACATTGGTAAGGAACAACAAATAGCTTCTCATTATAGCCTCAAACAACACAGGAGAAACAACAGGAGGGGAAAGATGGGGACCTTATTACTCCTGAAGAATCCCTCAGCTTTCAGTGTCTTGTTGGGAACGTAGAGAAGCCGCAAGTCATTGTAGCAACGTTCCAGGACAACACGCATCGTTTCCACAGAAAGGCCACTCGCCTGCACAAGAAAACAGTTCAGTCATAAAACAAATTCCTCTTCACTGCTTATATATTTTTTTAATATAGTAGCAGTAAGTAGGGTGTTGGGGTTGGGGGTTGGGGGTTGATTATTCCTTGGATGCAGCTCTCTGTGTGCTGCCACCATCGCAGGGAAGCTCTGCATCATACCTGGGCAATGAGCTGCTTGAACTCCGCGACGGTCTGGTTTAGGTAGGCCCGGACGCTCACGGGTGGAGAGATGGTCTCACTCTTCAGCCCAACCACGTGGACCTTCACCATCACCTCTACAAAGAACCACCGTGATTAATCAGTGATGTAAATCTGAACATCTGTTGCAATCTAGTTTCAAATGCAGTAGTTACATCCCTAGACAAGTCCTTCCCTCCTGAGATCAGTCAAAGAGTAAAGGGTTGGGTATTTGGCAGTTCATCAGTAGGGTTTTCAATCTATCTGCAACAGGAGCACCTGACAAACTGAATTATTTCCCCAAAGTAAACTCAGAGACCTATGAAGATTTGAGGTTAGCAGAAGGGGCCAGAAATCTCTAATCACTGTAGGGACAAGGGAAGACATGTGTACCAAAAAGTCCCCAGAGAAGATCAATGTTCTCACCTCCCGGCTTATAGGTCTGGAAGACCTGGTCTGGCCGACGAGTCTCCAGCAGAAGGTCAAACATATAAGAGGATTTGACCCCACCCAGAAGCAGCCCCATGGGCGTGTCCTCCTCGCCCTCGTAGGAGCGCTCCAGGTACTCGTGAAACTCGTCATACTTCACCAATCTGCAGCAGTCCAGAGGCAGGACCCCTTCCAAATCCATCAACTACACAAAACAGGCAAGATGGGTCAATCCAAGACTGTCAGTCAGCACACCTGCATTATTCTTCACAGTAGACAACTCTGCAGTTTTATTTTCAGCCTTTCAAGCACAATAGGTATAAAGGCATTCTATCTAGTCTCCCATCCGCTTATTAAAACCGACCAGGCCAAAGATGCTTGGCACATCTTCCTGTACCTTATAGGCAATCTCCACAGCCTCTTTCAGAGTCTTGTCCTTGTGCACCTCCAGCTTGTTCTCCATCATCATCATCTTCACCGGGTGCATGCACAGCAGCTTGATCTGCCAGACGTACAGATACGCATCACATTTCACATATTCGTGGACTGATCAGTAGACCGAGGGTCTTGGCTGTCACTGCTATGTGTCTGTATGGACCTGTCAGAATACCTTGCAGGTGTTACGTTCAATTTCCCTCTGTCTCTTTTCGTGCTCCTCTGCCTCCTTCTCCCTCTGCACCAGGCGCTTTATGTGGTCAGGGAAGCTCTCCACATCCAAATATTCTGGAATTACACATGAGGGGGAGATAACTGGAGCCCAGTAACAGAGCTGCATGTCTACATTCAGCTAAAGCGATAGCACCATTAGCTGTAATGCCATATACATAATACATCCACGCCAAATTAAGATAAACTGTAAATTTGTAGGTGATTTTTTTCATATAGTACATCTACTGTGCAAAGATGAGGTCATACAAAGGATTCTGAGCTGTCTTACTTGCATTCCTCGTGGGATCCTTCAGTCTGTAGATGAGCATATATGCATTCGTAGAACTGTTGAAATAAATCAATTAGTACATTATAATACAGCAGCATTACCTAAACAACTGAAAATTTCCATCACTGGATCAGGCACGTCTACCCCGATGCCCCAAACAAGGTAACTATCACCATGCAGTGTTACGATCATCAATGCAGCTTTGTTTACGGCGTGATAATGACTCCCTTGTAGGAAGGGAACAAATGCAGGAAAATGGGACAAACACGAATTTGAAACATGCGGCTGCATAACATGGCAGTTGTTTGTTCCTGTTTTGTAAGAGGCGTCTGTCATAACTTTCATGCTGGAGGCTAGAGCAGGGCTGTCAGTCTCCCAAAATACAATTTGAATTGTTTTGCTTTAAGAATTTTTTGGAATTATTCTATTAAATATGGTACTTATCCAATATCACAGGCTATGGAAACCATAAATACAAATACTGCACTACTGGGTTGATTGAGTGGAGTATTTTTGGAATATGACTGTATGATATATACACAGCCCTTAGTGGATTGACTTTAAGACTTATGGGAAAGACGTGATGCAGATCACAGGACTTTGCACTTGCCCACTTACCTGGCAAAGGCACTGGTGTAGTAACCTCTGTTCCCTGAGGACCCACCGTAAGTCTTCCTGATGTCTTCCTGTGTGATCTGTGGAATGACAGGGGCAGCAAGATGCCTCGCCATCAGGGACCGGCTGAAAACACCTCCCTCCCTCCCTCACTTCCGCCCTCCCTCCCGCAGATGAATCCGGCCAGACTCTGTGGGCTACCTTGCTGACGTGCTGGTCGTTGAAGCTGTACCACAGGCCGTCGCTGAAGGACTTGATGCAGGCATAATAATGCCCACCAGCAGCACTGCCCGAGTGAACCATGACGGAGAACAGCTCGAAGATCAGTGAGCTCTGCAAAAGCAAACGAGGCCTTAGCGTGTGACGGAACACAGACAAATTATATTAAACTGATTAACAGGACAGGATTAACAGGATTATATAATGTACAAATACTTCTGTTAATACACTGAAGGAGAACGTCAAAGAACGGATTACATATTTTTTGTTGATGGGTAGTTTTATTTTCAAAGTTTAAAGTCAGGACAGTGACAAAGATACCTTTGGCTTGAGTACCCTCTCTGCGCTGTTGGCGTTGTCCAGGCAGATGCCCTCATCCACACCATCGTCCGTGGAGAAATCATTACTCATCTGGTCGCTGTGGCAACTGCCCTCATTCTCCGCCCCACTGTCAGTACAGCTCTCAGTCTGAGGAGACTTCTTTGGGTGTTTAAGAGACGGAAGATGACAGATAAGAAGAGAGGTTAGGTTTGATAGTGCCAGAGAAACAAGTATTATGGTTACATAAAAGTAAACATTATTAAGGTCTAAGCTACTTCACTGGATCTTATTTTTTTTTTTAGTAAATTTTAGAATTTGATTACATCAGAAAGTAACAGTAGCAGTAAACTTAACTCCGTTGGTGCTTTAATATTTAAACACCACGTTATATGCAACAATAGAACAGCACAATGCCAAGAAATTAAATCCGAATTCCTAGAACAAGCCAACGCATTTCCTTAAAGTCACAATCATGGGGCACTTGTCTGTTAGTGATAAACCAAAAGGGCAGAAGCGACCAAAAAAGGAAGATGAGCTGGAGTGAGAACATTATGGTGTCTTTACACCCGATAGTAAACCTTATATTGGGTAAAGTCCTAAAGTAAGATGGGGTAAGTCTCTTATCAGACTGCTGATAAGAAAAAAGTAGATAACGCTCTCGTGCCTCATCTTCTACGTCGATGAAGGGGCTCATGTCCAGCTCCTCCGGAAACGTCATGCGATCGTTGAGCTTTATGCGATGCATGGTGGTGTAGTCAAAGTCGAAACGCTTCAGCTGAAGCGTCAGTAGGTAGGGAAAGTGCAGGAAACGCAGGCCCTGGAGGGGAAGGCACAGACAGCACATGAGATGGGCGCAGCGAGGACACGCATGGCCATGAAATGGAAATGACGTTGTACAAGTATGAGTACAGGTACACAGGGAGGTTTTCACATATCCCATCATGCTCTCCTTTGAGACATATATACACATCTTCCTATCACAGTCACTAACCCGCAAGGCACACACAGCCAATCAGGATAGCATCAGGCTGAAAAGGGTCATTCTCCCTTCTAGTACAACCAAGAAATGACCCAGTAGCCTTCAAAGTCAAGATGATCACTTAGTGGGGGGTGGGTGCGGTTGGGAGTCAGGGGGTCTTTGATGGAATATAACCAACTTCTCGAAATCAAAAGCACACACTGCTCATCCGCAGAAATGTTTCTTGTGGTATTTTTTTGTAAGACATCATCCAGAATTCACACCATATTGCTGGACCCATAGTGACCATCCAAGATCACACTCACCTTTCGGGCATCACATTTTTTCTTGCAGCGCTCACAGAAGTACTGGTTGGGTCCATCCAGGGTCTCTGGTTGGATGAAGGCCTGGAGAGCCTCTTCCTGTTGTAGAGCCAGGCACCACACAGATGAGAATAAATAAAATACTATCGACTCAGGTAACAGACACTCAACCTTGCAACACCGTGCAGTCGCATTGGCGAAGAGCAATGCAAGACGGGACAGTTTATGTTGGCAATATAGATAGCAATTAAGCAATTTCCTGTCAGATAATAAAAGTTTTCTGATTCTAAGCATGGATGTGTTTTATTATTGTAAGAATGCAATTTTCAAATCTGTTACTCAGCGACCTTTCAGTTGCTCAACCTAGGCTCTAGACTGCATACATCAGGTTATCACCCTTCTTGGTCCTGCCAGCTACGTTGGCAGGGTTTACAGGACTAGTGGGACAAGGGGGGAGACGTACCACACTCCCGAAGGCCTGGCTGGCGCCGTAGGGCCGGATGACCAGAGGGATGTCCAGGTAGGTGTCGATCCTCCAACTCTCATTCCCACACTCCAGACAGCGAACATAGTCCTTCAGCTTGCCCTGGTACAGCTGGTTAATAAGGTCAGCCTGAAAGGTCACAGAGGGGCCCGAATTGTCATTTAAATCCTGCGCTTCTATCCTTCACTCCCCGCATGATTGAGGAAGCAATTCAGCAATGAAAATACACACGAGATATTACATCAGTCAGCGTAACCATACAAGGTAAATAAGAGGTCAATAGACCCAGCTAAGCCAATCACAATACTAAACAAACAGAGCTACATTTAAAATACCATTCATCGTTAACTTATCTACAGCCACTCAGAGGGAAGTAAGTCATCAACTCGCCCTGCTGCTAACCAGAAAGGGAGGAGGAGGGAGACAAGGAGTGTCTCATTCACAGACCTGTTCTGTCTGCTTCCACTTCTGCTCTAGAGCGTCAAACATGACTCTGCAGAGCTCCTGCACGTCGTGCTGCTGCCAAGCTGAGAGGAAAAAGGCACAACTTGTGAAATGCAGATGGTCCGGCAAAATGCTTATTGCATCTTAACCCATCCATGAGGTTTATTCCTAAGCCTGCAGAATTCTGGGAGTGTTTCCGCATAAAATTACAGACAAGTTGCACAAGACAAGGCAAGTGGTATGGAGAACTTATTAAATCACAGCTAATCAACGATTCCCTCTCATAGCAACCCAACCGTTGAGTATGTCGGCTTGTGGGTACGGCAACACGGTGCTCACCCTCGCTGCTGTCCCAGCCGAAACTCCGCGTCACGTCCGTGGTCTCGATGGCACGCTTCTTGCTGGTCTGCAGCAGGACGAAGAGCCTCTGGAGCTGATAGGGGATGCTGGTGATGGGATCCTCCTCTCCCTCCTCGAACTCCCAGCTACTCACACAAGTGGGACAGTGAAGTTGGAACCGGCCTCTCTGGTACCATCGAGCACAGAGCAGATGCAGGCAGCCCACTCACTTGTAGAGTGCATTTCTGAACTCCGGGGTCATGAACAAGGTCTGCAGAAGGCTGTTTAGGTAACAAGTCATGGCCTGGTTCACCAAGCCTACATAACCTTTATGGGCAGAAAACAATGAATGAGTTTTGACCTGATTGCAGCTGCAACTTAGGAAGCCACCAAAAGGGGGCACTGACAGCAGGCGGCCAGGCAGGCAGCCCTACCCGTCTCGGACTTGTTGAGGATGGAAGCGTAGGAGTAGTTTAGGCTGCTGTAGTCGCTGCTGCAGCCCACCATACCGTCCCGGGGCAGTGGCCCAATGAAGCGATCCTGAGAGCTGTCGTCCAAGCCACTGCTGTCCGCCGTGCCCGACTCATCCTGTACACAAACACGAAAGAGTCACTCAGACTATGCCAGACCATCGGCGAAGGTGAAGCCCATAAGCAACCATCTTTTAAAAATAAAAAAAAAAAGGTTTAGGGGTGGGTGGGGAGCTCATATTTGGCTGTCAGCCATGTGTCCCCAAATGCCCCAGGAAGAAGACAGGGCATCTCCTGCAGTCATGATCAAAGTTCAAGTCACGCGAGCACTACAGGAAGGGCGACGCCGACAGAGGAGCGGAACATTGTTCAGCAAAAGCAGCAGTGAAGCCAGCAAGGTGCTGGTGCACCATTCAGCCAAGCTGGCCGGCGCGTGCCGCTGGAGCCATGCCAGGTGACTCATCGCACGACAGCCCTCAGGCACAACCAAGTAGCACAGCAAATTGAAACCGCGGTCTGGAGATGTAGCAACCAGCGTGAGTTTGGCACTGGTGCCATAATCACACACAGGGAGGCTTAAAAGGGAGCTTTAGTGCTCGACAAAAAGCGAACGTTACGGAGATCGTATACCTGCCCAGAGAATAAGCCGAAGACGGAGGGCGCAAGTTTAAAAACTGAAGGTTAGTATAGATTGATAAAGTGCTGCAGTGACATTTGTGGTCTGACGACTAACCGATGCCAACTGCGGTTGCTCGCCATCCTTGTCTGTCAGCTGGAGGAAGTTCTTTTTGCCAGATTCAAAGCCCGAGTCACTCAGAGGCATCTCACTGCTGTGGTCCAGCACCGCCTTGCAAGGGAGGCAACAGGTTAAAGCAGCCTAACAGTCACACACAGACACACATATAATATCAAATTATACATATGTGCATATATATAAAATGTTAGATTTTTTTTATTATTAAATGCAGTCATATGAGTCTATAGCCATCTAATTAAAAGCTAAATTAAAGGAATAAAATATTAACTTAAACGAAAGGTTGCTGTATTCTGAGTACAGTCAGAGAAGCCAGATTCTGAAAACACACCTAAAAATATCTCAGCGTTTGTGTATATGTAAACAAATGCTGAAAATCAAGCTGATCAACAGCCAACCATTTTGTAAGTTCACCTTAGATTAACAGATAAGCCCCATGTCCAACTTCAATAGTCATTATGGATGATTTTTCAATACCAGTCAAAGGGCTCCCTCATAAGACCCTTGTCGGGGGGGGGGGGGTCTCACCATGTCCACGGTGTTGCCCCATGCCAGGTCAAAGGTGCCGCTCACATATCCCGCCTTCTGGGCCACATCCTCAAACAGCTTGTTGACGGAGGTGGAAGCTGGCAGGTTGAGGGTCAGCCGCTCATTGACCGTCTTAGCATTGGTGGTGTCCTGGATGATGCACAGGACTCTGGGCTCCTCCGCTGCATTCTCTATCTGCGGGACGGAGAGAAGAAAGAAGCCACTGACTCCCCGCCGGATGGGTGGCAGACGTGTGCAGGTTTTCTGGGTCAGACCACGTGCGCTCCGACTGCAGTCCCACGCGGCCACCATGCATGAGCGCGACCGCAGCATAAGATTAAATCATCAGCAACACATTACTGATGAGCCAAGCTTATTAAGTTCAAAGCATACATTAAGAAAATCAGTAACTCAACCATGCGTGTCACAGAAGGAAAACAATACTCTGGAAAGTAGAGCATAAAGCTCATGTGATTCAGAATTCATAGGTGACCTTGATGAATTAATCTGTTGAAAGCAGCAGCTTAAAAAGCTAAGCTTGGGAGTGCGTGGACACAAGCTGTGACACGGCTGTGACACTGCAGAAGACCACTCCAAAACCAACAGCACTGTATGACACTGCAGAAGACCACTCCAAAGCCAACAGCACTGTATGACACTGCAGAAGACCACTCCAAAGCCAACACCACTGTAACCTGCATGCTTGTTAAGGATAGAGAAAAGCAACTGCAGTCTATTCCACGTTGACTGTTTTGCCTGAAAAACCTGCTTCATTCCTCTCTTACTGACGTTAGCAGAAGATGAAAAAAAAATCACCCAGCCATCTGCACGAGTCTGACACTTTCAGAAGTAAAGGTTCTGACCTGTCAATTACATGTTTACTTCCTGGTTCAGAAGCATCACACCATCTACCCAATTAACCATACAGATGAGCTCTGAGTACATGAGTTTCATACTAATTTCCCAATGGTGTTACAATGATGTCTGGACATCACCTTTCACCTGAGAGGCAGCCAAGATCAAGACAGTTATGTCGCTGGTTCAAATTAGCTTATTAAACTTTGCTTCTTGGTGCTAAAAGTCTGATATTTTATAACATACACAGCAGTAATTGTCCAGTTCATGTGCAACACAAGCTTGCTAAAAAAAAACAAAACAAACAATGCAAATGACATTCTGGCCAATGTCCCTTAATCTGCATACAACACAAATCATAACACCAGATTCTACTCTTGAAATGAAGCTTTTAGGTTATACATTTGACAATCCCGTTTTTTTCTTTAAAATACTTTCATTAGCAGGGCTGAATAATTGGAAAGTTCATGCAGGAAATGATGATCAACCCATTACTAAGGATAAAGACAGCCAAGCATTTAACAGTGGTCAGTTAATAAAATAGCCTGATCGCTGCTGTCCACCCTAAACAAGAATTCATACTCAGCTCAGGTCGAGCTGATGCCAGCAGGAAAAGCGGGTATTTTGGGACTGATGGGTTAGAAAGTGATACGCCAACAAATCACAGCATCCCAGTGGACTGCAGCATGCCATCACAGCAGTGTGTACACACACACACACACACACACACACACACACACACACACACAGCTCCCAACTGGGAGCTACCTGAGAGAATTTCTTCTTCATCTCCTCTAAAATAGTCTGTCGACAACTCCAAAACATACCCTGTGACACACAAAGGGATTAAAACATAAAAAACCACACAGCTAAATGTCATCCATCACAGAGAAGCTCTACAAATAGAAACCACTTGTTTCCTTTGATGCTTTTGAAGGAAGGAAGCCCTGTGAGGCTCTAGTAACTTTGTTTCATAAAGTTTACTTCTGTATTCAACAGGCCATTTTATAAACACGCCCTTCACATCACAACGCAGAAGTTACAGTTGTTCAGGCTTAGCTGCCAAAACCAGGAAATAAAACCAAGTCTGACTCAAAACGACAAGCAACCCAAAGAAATGACATTAATACATCAGAGTGTATTATGAGATTAGAGGTATTTTTACCACAGGTAATAAAGCTTCATGCTAACGCTGACAAGTGAGGAGAGTCTCAGTTACAGGTGTCCCTCTTCCAACCTGCGGCTCACAGGACCTAGAATTCAGCCTGCCACGCTCACAGAAAATAGCGTTAATCAAACTGCATGCTGAGCCAACGGCAAAACCAGGCTTTAACTCGCTTACAACTCGCAACTTAACACATCTTACAAAGCATTTTACTTGAGCAGCACATCAAATTCAGGGCACTGAAAAATTGGCCGTCCACACCGGCATCAATTAGCAGACAGAAAAAACAAAGTTTCCACCTAAACGCCAGCATCCCGTTCATGCCACTACACCCTTTGCTGAATCACACAGCATCACAGAGGTAAAATCAGGGTACGATACCTGTCCTGAAGGCACAGCATGGAAAGGCTTCCAGCCTTTCAAACTTGACATCCAATTTGAGAAGCATTTAAAATGTTTGAACATTTAGACATCCGCGTCAACCTGCATTCAATCACTCAAGGTGAGTGTTGACCATGAGCAGCCAAAGTACGACAATCTTTAGCCGACAAAGTCATTGGCCTGGTCACACAGAAATAAATTCTGCTCACTTAAAAGAACACTAAACCTTGACTGAATTCAGAAAAATGACAGATATAAGGTAAAAACTTTAGTATCTTTGTTACTCTATTCCCCTTCAGCTTCGAGTGAGAAAACGAAACCACTTCTCTACTTCCTTGTTTGACTGTATTAGCTGAACTTGCAAACACCTACTGTGAGACAGCCAATCCAAAATCACTTCCTGCTTAGAAAAGAAACGCACACCTACTCTGTCCCTAATCTTTGGCAAAACGAATCAAAACCAAAATGACAGAAATATAAATTGTCTTAGAATACAAAAAATTATTTAAAAAAGACAGAAAAGGGGGGAAAATTGTTAAGGTCAATTTCAGTGTTTCCAAGCTACTGGGGTCCTCACAGCACTCTTTATATACGGGATTACTGATGCAGTCCAATACAGCTCTTAATCAGGGTTGAGTGAGACGATGAGTAAATGAATATCTTAAAGATTTTTCAGACTTCAGTGATATTAAATGAAAATTATTTACTTTAAGACTCAATTGTGTTATACCAAATTGATGTTAGGAACTAATGGTGAAAATCTAAATATATTTAGCTATGCCTCTGAAAATTAATAACATTATTCATTTCATGCATTTTTAATCACTTACACACTTATAGCCCTTAATGGATGAATTAATTAAAACTATTGTTTTGCTAGAATTTCTAAAATGATCAAAGAGACTGCATTCTACTAGCACAAATCAGTTCAATGGGATTAGAATTTAAATCAAGTATTTAAAATTCTGTTACATGATTTGAATTATGCAACACAAATTAATAAATCAGTCAAGCCTAATTAAGAGCTCAGGTTGTTTGAAAACCAGCAACCTGAACACTACAGATGAAAAATTAACATCAACTTCATAGCCAAGTTTTGCCAGAAACACCTTTTTTTCCTACTTAACACAGAGCAAACTTTACACACAGTGCAAATATTTTTTAAAAAAAACTTTATAAAAAGACATTAAAAAATTACAATATAACTATAATATAATAAAACTAAATATAACGGCAACTTTGAAAACCAGTGTATCTGGCCTAATTCACTGCCTTTGTTATTGCAGATTTGAGACTAACCCGACAAAAAAACCAAGATCTCAATTTAAAATAGCAGAAAGCCAACCGCAGTATGGCTTCAAAGGGGATTACAATGGCCCAGTCATTTATAAGTAATTGTGTACTGCAAAGGTCATGGTGACGTACATTCAAAATAATGTTTCTGCCTCTCGCCAGCTTATTTCTAAGATAAAACTGTTAAAACAAAAACATGACCACAGTTTCCATTCCCATCAGTCGACTCAAGCAGGCCTATCACATTCAGTCACTCTTTTACAACTGTATCCATTCTGCTGAATATTTAGCAAAAATAATATTACTCAATCACTCACTAAAAAGAATACAAGAGAAACATATGCCTAAATGCTGATGGTGAGATTAACAAAAATCTGAGAACTGCAAAACTGGAAAAAAACTCACAAATACATTATCATAGCAAGGCACCTGGGAGGAATGTGCTTCTGAGAGCCTGAAGGACTCTGTGAATGCTGTCGAACAAGTGGAACTGGCGCAGGGCATACAAAAGCAAGATGCAAATAAGGCAAAAAAAATGCACCAAGGGTAAAGGAACAATAAGCTCCAGAGCTTTTGTCCTTATTGATGAATTATTCACGCTTCTGATATAACAAGCAAGTTCAAACCTTGATCCAGCAGGAGAGGTGAAGTTCAAAACTGGATGGAATGAGAAACTGTAAATACAGGTGATGCAATGGAGATCACCGAGAAAATGGCACTAAATACGGACCACATTTCATAAACACAGGACTTAAACTTGTGGCAGCTTTTCAGGTCCACATCTTCTGATTACATGAGCATATCTAATGGAGATTTAAATGAAAATATGGGCATTCACATAAATCACATAAATATACTGTTAAATGATCAATCTTTAAGGCATTAAGAATCCACTGGGTGAATATGTTGCCAACTATACGGAACACACACACACCACCAATCAGAGAAAATACCAGGGAAATTTACAGCAAGAAGATGGCTGCCTTTCATATTTGCCTTACCCTTTAAACCATCCACAGTGTTACAATGAACCCCAGCAGTGAGCCAATAATAACAAACTTTTCATAGTAGAAAAATGTATGCAGCCTTAACAGAAATAGGTCTTAGACAATGTTTAAGATGTTCTGGAGGGATGAAGTTGAAAAACCACAATACTACTTTGAAACAGCCAATTATTTTCAATTTAAACGATCAAAAATATCCCATTGATGTAATATTCCCACAGCTCGCAGAAAGACAACATGTACATCTTCAAATGATGTTTCCTGTACAAAACTGATTCAGTATTATTTCTCCATCTTCAGCATTGACTGATATCTTGAAAACAAACAGAAATGGCATTTCAAAATGTCATGAGAGCTCAGGCCACAAAAGCCCCAGGCACTACGGTGATCAGATGTAATGGGCTCAGCACAGCAACTGCAAGCATGGGATACACTAACCAATCATCTTCATAGGGACCATCACTGCAGCCATGTGACTATTACAAGTATCTGGCAAACGAAACAGGAAGTCGTTTTGTTTTGTGGAAGTGACAGATCCCCCTCAGCGTACAACCAATCTACTGCCATTAGCCTTTCCAACACTCCAGTACTAAACAGTAACAGCTGAAGCTCGTTTTCCTTGTATTTGTTCCTGCGTGTACCTGCGGAACATGCTGCCAAATTAGCGACATGCAAACCTAAAGCCCCATTTACTCCAAACTAGGGTTGCAACAACTAATCGATTTAATCAATTAAAATCGATTATTAAAATAGTTGCCAACTAATTTAATAATCGATTAGTTGGGTCTACGTTATTATACACATAAGTACAGTGGCTACCTCCTAATTTGGGAGCAGTAAGCTAACCAAAGCCACGGTGGCAGTAAAGTACCATTAAGCTGAATGCCAACCGCCATAAAAGAAAAAGGTGACGAGAACCAATGGCGTGCCTTGAGTAGCTTACGTGATGAATTCTGGGAGAACTGAAAAAAACGTTTAAAAAATGCTGGAGGCGGACACAACAGTGTCTTGTTTTAATTCTGCCAGAATTTGACGATAATTTGCTGAAATTAGGTCGGAGAGACACTGATGTATTATGTGACGTTGTGGAGTTTTTGGATTATTTTATGCAATTATTCAGATTACTTAATGCAAAGTCTTCATTCACCCCCCCCCCCCCGATTAATCGATTAATCGAAAAAGTAATCGACAGATTAATCGATTATCAAAATAATCATTAGTTGCAGCCCTACTCCAAACGTTCCTTGAGAATGTTTACCTGCAAGATTAATGAATGGAACTTCATACATGTAATGGGCACATTTTTTTCATGTTTGAAAAGTGACAGATACGTGTACTATCCTGTCAGGGAAAGAGCAATGCTACAGTGAGTCAAATAGCATAAATCTGCATCCCCCAGCAATGGCCAGTAGAAGGTGTCCGCTGGCAAAACCGGTGAAGTGCACTTCTTAAAATATGATTCGCTTTTTAAAACTCTCTGGATTCTAGTAGATTAAAATGTTCAACATCTTCAAAACATGTGGTTGAAGCCTATTTTCAGTCTTTACCCTAAGTCATAAGATTGTCTAATTGGTATTTTCCTTAAGTGTTTAAGCAATTAATCAGTCATTTTAATGTTGCACTGGGTGTAACAGTCTAATAGACCATTAACGATTAATAATGCTATGGCACTTGAGAAGATAACGCGTGCTATTATGCAATGTTTGCTACTGTATATCTGCTGTAATTCAACATTTTACATAGAATGGAAAGCAACCAATAATTTGCTTTAAAATAAATATCTACTTTGATTGCTTCAGGTCACTGACTAACTAAAAAAATGAAAGTCTTTAGCAGTTTACACTTAAAGCAACACAACCACCACCACTGCTGCTAAAAGAGCATTATTTCTGCAAAAGCACCAAATGTAATTATGCTAGCAGAATTTAAGCAACTCGAGTGGCTTACTTCAAAAATATACTATACAGTATGTTTGTTACCCAGTACTGAACCAATACAAGTACAACAGACATCGCAAGGAATATTAATACAGTGCTAAAGCTCAAAAAAAAAAGTCACATTTTACACTTTATGGGGGGGGACTGTTTAAATGTTTGACAGGTCACAAGCCTGTGTGTTAAACACTAGAAGTCTACACAAGGAACAGCCTTGTGGATATAATGAGAACACAGAACCACACAAACAGATGAATTATAACCCTGCCAATATGAAAGTGTATACCACTCGCTGAAGCCCTGTGCCACCCAGATGAATTTCTAAATTAAAGTATTTTTGATATATTTTCCAGGCTTGGCACCACGAATATGCTAAGTAGTAATCAGGACACAAGATTAACAGCAAACACAAGGCTCTGCAGATTTTAAAAAACAATTAATTAGCACCATATTAACACTTAACAATCCAAGTGAAGTGACTTACTGTTCAAATAACAAACGACGTGATTAAGAGCTGAGGCTGAGCGTAAAATCAGCATAGTCTGTGGCCACTAGAGACTGAATTAATAATACCTTGCGTTGGAATACATTTAAATTAGTGTAGTTTCCCAGTCCTGATCCTGGTCTGCAGAATGGCTGCTATTACCAAGTACTGTTTTTACTAATTATGGCATGGCCAAACGGTTACAAAACACTTAAAAGCAAAAGATTTAAAGTGTTCACCAGAACTTGGATAAATAGCAAATCTAATCAACAATATATCTGATTGACTGAAATAGTCACTAGGAGATTCATGATTTAATTTACGAAGCACAGCTTACTGGAGAACCTATATAAACAGAAAATGATCTTAATGTATTTTCATTATTAATATTTCCAATAAAACACTCTACCAAAATATCTCACAAATAATTAAGGCCTCTGGAAAAAAATTATACACACACACACAAACAAATGTCCAGTACCAGGATATGTAAAAGAATTATATTTGGGCCTGAACATATTATGAGCACATGACCCTTAAAAATACTAGTACTATGGACCTGCAATTAATTGTGTGTTGGTTTTGCTTTCATGGCATTTGCAATGATAAAAAGAATGCGAATAAGTTTACTTATTTATTAAATTTTGCTAACAATGGAGACAACAATTTGTTATTTTTCATAATTTGACTCATTGATTCAGTGCAAAAAAATCTGGTCTCAATTTGCAACCATTAGGGGTAAAACCAAATTAAAAAAATGTTTATATATCAACATAGACAAACTTGTACTGTCTTCCTAAGAATGTCCGCCACTTGTACATTCTAATAGTGACATTTAATTTGGAAAAAAACAATCAAAATCAAATTACAAAGCTGGCTGGAACAGACACCAGCACAAACACACCCAAGAAAATGTTAGCCAACAAAACTCACTTATGAAAATTACTGTAACAAGCAAATAAAGCAATTATCTCACTAGTCCTTTGGCTGCCAACATCTTTGTTCTGTGCCAAGACACACTGGCTTACCTTTTCAACTTCATGACTAGCAGTAGAGGATATGTTCACTAAACCACTTTCTTTCAACAAACATGTGACTCCCACACCAGCCAGTATTATACAAAACATTATACTCCAGAAAAAACCTTTTTAAATTAGACTATGTTACATTATATGAGAAAAAAACTAGATGGCTTATTATAATATATTCAGAGTCTTTACGGTTGATCAAATGTGAGGGGTTCCAAGATCACATCTTAGGGACTATGAATTTGTACATTTTAGATAGCTACCTTATTATAGAGTGTTTCACTAAAGATTAAATTATGGGACAAAATCAGTTGTCAAAAATTCCTACTATTGTTTTTAAAAAACAAAATTTCAGTTACATTTGAAATGTAAAGACCAGCTAGCAGAATATATTTTACTGAACATTTAATTCCAAAATTGGATTATATATTGATATATAATCATTAAGTCAATATGTCTAGAAAGAAAACGAGATAATACGCAGATAATCAGAATCATAATTGTAACAGTTGGTTTAAAATAAGTCCATTTCATTTATATAGTGAGATGAATTTTAATTATATTTGCTACATAAGGCTTGTTATAACGAATCATGAAAATATTATCGAGAATATACTTATTGATTAATTATACATGTTACTTGGCTTTTGTAGGAAAATGCTGTTTCTTAAGTGACACTTGCTTATTTTAACTTGTTATTCTGACAAGTTACTCGGGTGGTTTGGTGGATATTTAAAAGCTCATTAGATGCATCATCCACCGTCAGGACGCAAACAGGCCCCTCAGCGCCAATCTGTCACCGCGATCCACTGAAGGCCGCAGTAGCAGTTAGCCGGATAGCTGGCTAGCTACCCCATCGCCTTCTCACTCCCCCTCCGAAAATGTTGACAGGGTACTTCGCAGTTCAACGTCTGCTGAACTGTACTTTGCGATTCCAAACACAAAACTGGAGTCTGCAGAACAACGCAGCTCACATGTTTCTGAATAAGCCAAGCACCGGAGTGATTTCTCCCCTTAATAATAACTTGGCTTTCTAGCACTTCTGCTAAGTTATTCAATGTTTCGTGAGGCTAACGATAGCTATTAGCAATGACAGGCTCGCAATCCACTATTATTCGATTTTCTTCCTAAAACAATGCCGCTATCCTTAAACACAACAATCGTGGTTTACTTCGTTTATTCCGCTGGCTGAGGGGGAAGGATCGGGGCCCGTCGGTGCCAAAAGCCCGGTCTCACCTCTTTGGGTACAAGCTGGTTCTCTTCGCTAGGCACCATTTCCATTGGTACGACACTTTAAACGAACATCTACCCGAGCTCGGCTGTCAGCGGGAGAGCTTTAAGGCAGCGCAGTCAAACATTGTTTTTGTTTTTCTCAAGCCAAAAAAGAAAATATGAAGATAAAGCACACGGGGGAAAGTTGTTACCAAAGTGACCGTAAACACTTTCTTTTCTGTTAGCTGTACCACCTAGCCAGCTAGCTAGCTAAGCACAGACAGCAATCAATGGGGGGGGGGTGGGGGGGGGGGTGGCTGTTTCTCAGTTTCGCGAGACTTCCGGCTGACCCATGCGTCATTTCCTCCACATGCTACGCGTGTGTGTGTAGGCAAATCATACTCTAATGACATAGGCGTATACGTCTACGCGAGGCCGGTATATTCAGTTCTTATTTTATTCACTAGTTTATTATCAACAGAAGTGATGGTCAAAATTGTTATTGGTCGGGGAGGAACATATTTTAAATCTTGGGCTTTTAAAAATATTTTTGAGTCGATTTCCGAATTACAGGTGGAGTGATCTTGTTGTCGGTTGTACAGTGATTAGTAAATGCATCAGAGATAATGTTATATATTTTTTTTACTTCTCCGCTTATCTATAAGGATACTAATCTATGAGATCGTCTATCAACCCTAACCCCCAGCTCCCTGGGCGCCCCAACAGGTGGCTGCCCTTCGCGGACAACTTACTGTACAAAGAGCAAGTTGAGGGAGGCGTAAAAACAATTTCCCCACGGGGATCAATAAAGTATCTATCTATCTATCTATTATTATTATTAATAATAAATGTTATACTTTATGCTGAGCAAGAGGTTTGTGATTTGTCGCAGTCACAGTTTCTTGGTCAGTTAATGTTGTGTGATCCTGCAACAAAAACAGTTTGCAGTTGCTTAATATTTTACAGAACAGGAATGCAAAACAAAAACGATAGACAACTTGTTGCCAGGGAGATATTGAAGTTTAATTTCCTCAGTAGGAAAAGAAAAGGTTCAGAAACAATTGCACATCTTTACATTTTTAAGTGATAGATTAGAAGTGGCAATGGTAGGTTACAAAGGACATACTGTACATTTTTCACATACCTGTAACAAGTTTCCATTCTCCTCTCTCCAAACATTGAACAAAAAGCGATGATTATTGATTGGTTAAATTTAAGAAATCATTTTTTTAAGTAAAAGAATTCAATGTGATATGTGTATATTTTTATTTCTTTAACCTTATATTCATTTGCTTAATTGTTACAAGTACAGCATACAGAATACCTTCAGCTGAGCTGTAGAAAAGCCCCTCAAAGTGTTTTTGTATTTTTTCATCTGTTTGATTAGCAGCAGCTAAGGGATGAGGTATTCACATATGTACTTCTTCAGGCTCCAGCATACCTCGTCATGCCACTTTCCCTGCGAGGCCAGAGAGAGTGTCACACAGCTCTCCCGTTTTCCTCCAGTGGGTTCCTTCCTGGAGCGGTCCCAGTTGAAATAACTGACCGGTGCACTGTTGACATCTACATAATGACCCTCTCTCACAATGTCAGTCACACCAATCCAGAAATCCTTGGTCCCCGGCGAGGTCCGCTTGGCATAATCCCACAGCTCCTTGTTCTCGTGTTTGTCCCGGGGAATTGTCAGTGTCCCCCCTTGTGCGATGCATTCCTAGTTGGCCTCATGGTAGTGTTTGGGCTGCTTGATGACCAAGTAACATTTCCTGTGAGCTTTGGTGCCTCGGAGGCAAACTGAAAAGAGTTAGACGGCCAAGCCTTTGTGTGTTTGCTCTCTTCTGGTGACTTCATAAAAACACATCAATATGTCGCTATTTGGGGGAAAATCTTTCTTTTTTTGCTTCTTTTCGGATGCCAGTGATACAGTATAAAAATATCAATCCCAGAGTTAGATATGAAAAATATAATAAGATAAATACACAGATTATTGCAGGCGGTTCTTGTTTTGTCTAAAATTTCATCTTTTGAGTATGAAGTTTGAGATAATATTTAATTATTACTAATAAAGTTCTAAATAAAAACACCTAACAAATCTTCAGTGAGACTTTTAATATCTCCTCAAACATTCATCTGGAGTTTAAACAAGCAGAGCCTTTTTACTGTGGTAATGTGTTTGTGAGTCTGTTTCCAGCATAATATATAAGACCATTCAGAAAGCAGCGATCAACAGAGAAACCCACTGTGTGATTTCATAAACCACGTTTCGCTCCCCCCATAGAAACATTTTCTTATTTGGATCCTGGCTTGTTAACTTCCAGTACTTCTTGTGCAAAATGGTGCACAGTGACTTTATCCATCCATCTTCGAGCCACTAGTCCTGGACAATTCAAGCATCTACTCTGGATGTGATGCCAGTCCATCACAAGGTACAAACACATCAGGGAAAATGTAGACATCCTAATTATGCTAAATGTAAACATCCTAATCATCCTAATTGCATGTCTTCGGAATCCAGTGGGAAACCCATGTGATGCATGCAGAACTCTGCACACACAAAGTCATGTGAGCCAACTATGCTACCCACTGAGCCATCATGCCACCCCATAGGGTGTTTGTTAATATCTATAATGATACACCAGATGTTGTGCAAGTAATTGAAAAAGGTTCCATTATGGTACATTGAAAATCTTTGCTTCACATATTTCAGTCTCAGCACTAAAAATGCTACTATGAGGATTCAGGAATACATGCCTCATATGCTTTATCAATCCAGAGCTTAAAATGTGTGTTTTGTGTTTCTCCATTGTCTGGGAGAGTCCCTGCAGTGACGCCGAACCTGCTGCTGACCTCTGGTGGCAGCGCGTGGATACAGATGGTGAATAGTCTTTAGTGCAGATCACTCTACCCTTATTAGGCTTAACCCTATATTTGTCCGAATGGAGATTTCTTTGTGTAAATGCAGTACATGAACTGGCACAGTAAGCCAGTTTTTCTGAAATTGCATCTAGATCCCCAAGCACAGCAGGTTAAAACAATTAATAAATACTGATTCTACCCCCTAATAATCATGTGATTGACATCTCTACACTGGGCTTCTTGCTTTCTAATACAGGTCGTCGTCGGCTTACGACCTATGCGACGTAAGACTGACCGACTTCACTACTGTTCCGGGACCGAAAATATGTGGCCGCCACTGCGTCGCGTCTGGCGGCGTGAGTTTTGCCCAGAGTGCGTAACAGTTTCCACAAAAACTGCCGGCAATGCTAGCAGTAGTGAGAAAATGGTGATTAAAAAAACACCAAACAATATGACTTAAAGATAATATAATTTCATTGTTGGAAAGGCTGCCTCTGAAACGGGATGCTGACGCGCATGCGTCTGGAACAGCGTCAGGAGCGTCTTTGGATTTTCAGCGTGCGTTGTCCCTTTGTGCCGCACCAGACCATCTTATCCAGAGCCGAGGGATCCTGGCCAGTCAGTTATTATGTTCAGGGGTGCAGTATTGTGCGTCACTGACGAACCGTAAGTGACAGGTCTTGGACCGATTGCATTTGGTGTTGGAATGTTGCGGTACGGTTACCTACTAAGCTGTTAGTGTAACTTTGAGGAGTTCTGTTATTAATGTATCGCGAGCGGACACTCTGTATTCTGCGTTCAGTGTTGCTATTGTCTATCCTGTATGTCAAATTTGTTTGTTAATCGGTTCTCGTTAACTGCGAAATATTTAGGAGAGACGGAATAAGATATTAATCAAAGATAGTGGTATCACGGTTATTCGTTATGTACCAATGTTAACCTGTAGATGGCAGTAATGTTATGCGATTGCTGATCGTATAAGTAGGTATATTTCTGTTATTTAGCTGAGCATATCTCTTATTGTTTCAGTTATTTATATAATTTTGTTTCCTTCTGTAGACCACATGCACACCCTGTGTTCAACTAAATTAGTGCATCTGTAGGCCAATCAGTGCCAACCAGTGAATTTCAATGCAAACCATACTGCCTGATTGAGTGTAGTAAAGTCTGGAATTGCATCCGCCTTCCCTGGTGTTCTTACCGACGCCACCAGAGTGGTACAACCTTACCGGCACCTACCTCATACAGTCCACGCTCTACCAATTTTCAATATTCATTATACAGTATATTATTTTAGTATAGGTACAATACATATGATCATTTCTGTATATAAAATTATACACTTACAACCGGTCAGTCGGAACCGATCGCGGTTATAAGTGAATAACGACCTGTATAGATTCCGCCTGCGATATGCCCTGAGACCATTCAAGAATAATGTCCCTCCATCCCCAGCTCACCCGTCTGGAGTGCCTGCATCTCCTCCAGGGAGTTCACCTCCTGCCACAACTTGCTGATTTGAGACTTAATTGACATCATCTTCATCCGCTGCTGCATCTCAATTGGAAATTCGACCGGACAAAGCAGCAAATTAGCATGGGGGAAACCAGCAACTAGGCAAGACTGTGCTTCATTAATTCTGGCAGCACTGAAATCCCGAGCTGCCAGTGGGAGCCGTTTACCTCTCTGTCCGGCCGGAGCTGCCCTTCTGGTCCGAGACGGCAGCCCACCTCCAGGCTGGAGCAAGGCGCCACTGATGACCAGGACGACTGCAAGAGCAGAACCCACCATTTTTCAGTCACTGCTCTCTGCAGATACTGCTGGAATACCAGCCAGTGCTTCATGTTGATCAAAAATGGCCCAGACAGCTGGCTAAATATGGGATGGATGTTTGCATTGGCAGAAACTCATTGGTCTGTACTGTGTGTGTCAAATACACAGGGTGGATAGGTAACAGACAGCGCTCTGTTTTGGTCCATTCATAAATATTTACCTGGGTTTGTGTGGGACTCGTTTAGGTACATATACCCGTTACACAAGTGCCAGTGTGGCTTGCTAACTGGCTCACTATTATTCAAATGAGCTGCTATGCTTTTTCCTTCTCTACATATAAATTATGCATAGATGTATATTTACTGCACAAAATATTTTATTTGTTATCAAGTACACCCATTGTTCACTTTATTTCGTATATCTAGCTAGTACTGGTTAAGACCCACTTTTGTCTTCAGAATTACTTCAAGGCTATATGCGCTGTGTGTTCAGAGAAGCTATTCTGTGCACTACTGTTGTACTGAGCTGTTATTGCACTTGTGGTCTTCCTGAGCTTTAACGAGTCCAGCCGTTGTGCTCTGACCTTTCCCGTTAACAAGATGCTTTTACCAGAGAGCGGCTGCTGACTGGATGTGTTTGATTTGTTGCATTATTTTCTGTAAAATCCACGTAATACAGCGTGTGAAAAATCACAGGAAGGTGGCTGTTTCAGAGATGCTGGAGCAACCTCATGATTAATCCATGCAGTTTTTGTGTTAACTTAAGCTAGAAGTCATAATTGTCCAATAGGAACACTCCACATAAACTCTTATTGGACAATAATGACTTCCAGTTTAAGCTGAGCTGAGATATCCTGCTTTGTGGAGCATCCTCGTATTTGTAAATAATCAATGCATATATTATTTCTTCCTTTTTCATCCATGTTTTAAATCCTTGAAGTGGTAATGAATCACTTACAAAATGAACACAGAAAACTCCATGTTCATATATTGGAATGATCTGAGCTCCTTATTATATCAGTACATATATTGAGACCTGTGATTAATTTAAAACTGTACAAGTAAGCAGTAGAACACTTTTGTTTAAACAAAATGACAGAAAAGTCACGTCAACTGTGCAGAACACTGTGCACTATGGATAATTTGCAAATAGGTATGTAACTGGTTTATAATGCATTAACTTTCAGCAAATGCTAAAAAATAAGTAACAATGCAGTTCCCATGTTAAAACAATGCATCTTAAATATTGCAGACACATTCCCAAAGTTCTAGCTGAAATGCAATGCAACACTTAAATCATGCTAAAGACATCTACAAATAAAACATCAGAATCACCACTTTTTGATAAATCATGAAGGTAAATAGTAGCTATGAAATCTCATCATATTAAAATATAATTTGGATCCTGTTCTGTTGTTCGTGATTGTTAGGGTCCCATATAAAAATGCTAATGAAAAATTTGAAAGTAAACTGTAATTATGTTGGATTAGTATGCAATTGGAATGTGAAGGATGTACAGAAGCTCCTCTACTTACGAACTTTCAACTTACGAACTTTCAGACATATGAACGAAGAGGACTGTAAGTCCAAATGGTGTTCCTTGGGCTCCCGTTTCCTGTCCGCAACATCAATTTTTTTTCCTGTGCGCCAATTCCGCCTAGTACAACTTCTGGCCGCTACTCCCATCACGCAGCAGCGTAGCGTGCGTACTCCCAGCATCCTAGTTCTTTGTACTTGTGTATACCCTTAAAATGATGTTGAATAACGACTTACGAACATTTCAAGTTACGAACGAATCTTGTTCGTAAGTAGAGGAGCGTCTGTATAGCTATTTGAGCATTCAGAGCCATATGTAGGCACATTAGTGAGAGCACACAGAATGCCCTAGCAGCTGAAAGGGAAGATGGAGCTTTGAAATTTGAAGGTCAGATTCATTCACATTACGTGAAAATGAAACAGTAGATTTAATCACTGTGGTACTACTTGATAATGTCTCATTGTCATTGGTGGTAAAATGGGCCCATCATCTGGCTTTAGTACTGAAATGCATGAGGCTTCTGATAGAAAGAGAAGTGTAGAGCCTTTAGTTAACATTCAACCTGATTATGTGTCAAGCCGTTTAACACGGCAGCTGAGCAGTGGATGAAAGCTGCTGTCTGTCATCATGAGGACAGTCTTGTATGCTCCACGTTGTCATATGCAGGATATGAAATTTCACTCTTCACCCATCAATATGATAACTGAAATATCACAATATTAAAGAAGATAATACAGCTTGTGATTGGTGTGAAGCCCAGTGGGTTACAGCTCTATGGGTTCAAATTCTGTGACAGAACAGCACCAGTGGGCACTTAACCCCAACTTCCCCATGGATGCTGGTTGACCCTGTTCTCTAACTTGACGCACTTATGGACAAAAGTGTCTACTATATATGTACTTACATACAATACATTTTGACACTGTTATGTCCTGGTGGGATAAATATAGTTCAGTTAGATACATAAAGGCTTTTGCCACAATTGGGAGGTGTGCATGAGGCAGGATGAGTCAGAGAGATAAGATCCCACTGAATAGCCAGGGACCCTCAAGCTGAAGACCCGGCCCCAGTACGAACAGAACACTAGCTGCAACATTAAGGGTCAAAAGGTGGGTTATTTTGCAGGGTGACATTCAGGACAGTATAGATGTGCATATATATATATATATATATCTGACAAAGCATGTGATAAATCGAGAAGTGCTCCAATTCTACCCCCCCGATCCTGTAGTTACTGTAACACCTTTTTCTCAAGTACAAATTACCTTCAGACAGAAAACATGTTTAATGGTAGGGAATCCATCTTGTTCTGGTTGACCTTTCATACACGTTCTCTTCTATGCATGAAACAGACACCCCTGGTCATCCCCCAGCTACTATACTTGATATAAATCATTTAACATTGTTTTTCTGAATTTTACAGACAGAACAGCACGTGTTAAGATTCATATCAAGTTGCCTGTTTTTTTAAAGGATCCTTTCTCAATGACCTACCCACTCGTCCAGCTATGTACCCACCCACCGACCCACCCCTGAAATAGATTTTTAATTAAATTTTTATCACAATTGGTTGCTCATATTAGGCATTATGCCCACTACTCTACCTCAGAGTTTGTTATGATCACTGAACTGAAAACCAGCAGCCAAATGAAATACTGCACAGACCAGATTACCATACTGATGACTTTATTCATGTAAACAGAACTGGCTTCGTGTGCACAACAGAACAGGAACACTAATAACAACAAACACAGTTAAACAATATTCCCATATTAATCTAGATCCAGGCTTGAGCTGACAGGTAAGCAAATGCAGTTTGTATTTTTTTAAGGCAAATTGAAAAGCCATCTAACCATGTCAAACACATATTCTGTACACTGCAGAGTCGTCCAGATCCTTTGAGTCCTACCTGGAATTTCCTTTAGTTAAAATGACCTTGTTTCCCACATCCACACATACCTTGTGCATACACTATGTTTTTGGTCTTCCATTAAAGAGAACCAAATCACTAGGCTTCTCGAAGAGTAAAGGCTTATCAAGCAATACGGCTCACGTTCCCGCTGAGCTCACTAACCCTCTGTCAAGTCTCCGGGGTGATGGCAGACTTTATGAGCAACCACTGTTTTCACAAAATATTATCAATGCTGATAAACCACCAGTATAACGTAACATTGTTTAGTATTGTAACAGAATATAAGGTATGCGAGACATACCTAAAATTTCAACATATCCCAAAGAGTTGTTGTCAGACATATACATGGTCATTTCTAATATTTCAACATGTAAAAAATGAAAACTAAAATCATGAAATATTGTGACTTAGGCTTGTGTAATATATAATCATATCCCCCTGGTTGAGACCTGTTATAAAATAAAGACATACAATTAAATAAATGACAAATTTCAGTAAAACTTCACCCTTGTCAATTAATAGAGGTCCCATATTGATTTATGTTTCTTGCTCAAATCAACCAGTAAGTAAAATCTCGTCTCCCTGCTACTACATGAATCTGACCATTACAAATAAAATGAATAAAAATTATGTAAAATTTGAACTTCAAAAGTTATATTACTCATTACTGAAAAGTGAACTTCTTTATGTGCGTAAAAAGAAACCAAAAAGTGTCAAATTGATAAAGATTCATGTCTACCACCCTTTTTAAAACAAAATTAACAGCTGCAAAAAAAATAGAAGTTACATGCAAGTGTGAAAGTAGTGCGATTCTTTAGTGAAAAGAAGATTTATGCAATAATCATATTTTATGCTATTTATTCAGCAAGGGAAAACAAAACAAGTTTTTGTGGAAAAACCCTATGTCTGATTGCATTGGTATTCATACCAAATACTGATATCTTTCTAGTGAGGGTGCAAACACAATTACAATAGGGCAAACCCTACAGTTTTGGTTAAAAGTTGAGATCATCAAATACTTTTAAACCCCTCAATCTGCAGCCACAAGCTCGTCCGTTCAGCTACAAGCTTTGTGTCTGGTTCCCCAAGTCCCTTACACTGCTCCTAGCTTGTGTTCTATCATATACAATATACAGGCACTAGTAGGTAAACATAATTTTCTAGGTACGAGCATTTAACACAACACAAGGACAGAACTGAGATGAAGGGGCTGGGAAGTAGCACAACCATAAACTACTTTTCTGATATGATAAGTCTTTCTATAAGGAGGTGATCCCTCTGGAGGTTCCATAACAGTGATGTGGTTCGACAGAGTGAAATTTACATGCTTTATTTGTCTTTACCAGAGGGACATTTGAATCAGGAGCCTTGGGATCATGCAGGTCCTGCTCAGACAGAGTACAAGCAGGCTGGAGCTACGGACTGGCAATGGAAAGGGGAGGTTTGGGGTGAGGGGAATACAAAGAGAATCAGAGCATCACAGCTTCAGAACGGCAACCTGGCAAGTCACCCCAAACAGCCACAAGCATCTATGCCCATTGCACTTTAGGTAGGAGAAAATATTTTGAAGGGTACAGAAAATCTCTCCACCCAGAAATGCCATCAGAGAACTGCCCTTTGTAGTGTAGGTATAGCATGGTGCAAGCAAGGTGCTTTCAGATAGTCTTTTGGAGAACCTGAATAGAACAGGAGCAGCATGCCCCGGCTGTGCTGAGACGGGATCTTTGATGTACTGCTCTCTTTTATCTGCTGGCCAAACGGGACTGGAGGAAAAATGAGGGAACAACACAGGCTCACACAGAAAAGTGGTTCTCCTTCTTATATATATATATATATTTTACTGCCATCACCACTGCTACAGCAATTTTACTCACGCACACGCTCACTCATTTCTACTGAGACCAATAAACGGCAAAACGGACACCCAAGAGGCTGTAAACACGGCCAAGCATCTGGTAGCTAGAGTTTGGCTGGCAACACAAAAGTAACATTGTTTGAATACTGACTGGGAATGGCACTTAAGTTGTTCAACACTGTCAACAAGCCATGTTTTTTTTTTCTTTTTTTCCCCCCCACAATTCAGCTGACTGGCGGACAGATACGACGGCACACACACTGTACTACAGCTGTTGCACACAGACTCGAGGGTGAACGGTCTTCCGTTTTAAATTGCCCTCTCCCCCACCCCTGCCCCACCCGCCCCATCCGTCTCCGTGGTTCCATCAGCCAGGGAGCCCTCAGTGCCCGCCTTTACTGGATGAAGGGCATCCGCTCCTTGTTGTCATTATCCCCTTCGTGTTCTTCCTCCTCCTCACCCGCCTCACTCGTCTCTGTGCTGTCGTTGGCCATCTGAAAGGTAAAGGTGCCCACTAAGCCACTAAGCCATGTCACGGCTCTCCTGAGGGCATCCGTGTTTCACCGTTGCACGTGTTGCGCCGCTCAGGGAGCTTGCCCGAATTCCCCAGGATGAGCGGCTCGACTCCAAAAGCCAGCAGGCCGAGATAACGGGCATTTGTCATTATGACAAAACTATATTTGCCGAATCTATTTCTTGGAATTCACTGGAGAGAAAAAAATAACATCAGCAATGTACTTTCCGTTATAAAGACAGCTGGCAGAAACTCAATCTGCAGGCATCTTTTATGCATAGAGAGAAGGAAACAACACTAGGAGACGAAAGACCAGAATGGTAGCTTTAGCATAATATCTGGTGAACTCAGTGATATCTGCAAAGGAGGAGAAAAGGAGAAAAAGTGAGACTGCATGAATTTTTAACTGCCTGCAAAACAGAGCTTCAGGTATACGATATCACACTTGAGCAGAGGGCCACCATGTCCCATGGGTATTCAGTAAGAAACAAATTTACATTTTTACAGACCAGACGATGTTTTGCTGAATAATAATGATTTCAATTTCATAGGTCAGAGTCTCCATTGACACGGCAAAGGAGCATGATGGGTAACTCATTTCGATTGCCCATCTATCTAATGGTTTGAGAAAGGGCAATGCAGTTAGGCGGCACAGGCAGGGTTGGATCACAGTTGCAGATATTTAGACAATGTTAACATTGACTTTTGCTTCTAAATGTACTTTTGCCATGAACAACGGTCTCCATGGAAACTAGCGATGTGAAGGTCTTCGTTTCTGTCCTGCCGAAAAACATATCCTAAGTACATCAGACTTATGTATCTCATCTCATTTCAACCACTTAGAGTAATGAGGGGGTCCAAAAATAGAATTAATAAGAATTAACCATAATTTTTTCAGGCTTGTGGCCAAGTTTGTCTGTAATTTCCTCTTCAGTGAGCAATACGTTAGATACATTCAATAGGTCAGTTATGTGATCACATTAGTAATCAGATGATTCATTAAAAAAATATATATATATATCTTAGCTCCACCAACATTTTCCCGTTTAGCTATCCTGGTTTTACCAATTTCTGCTTTTAAAGATATTAATTTGCCTACCAGTGGAATGGGGGATTTCTCCACATCCAAGATGAGTTTCCCTATGTTGCCTCTGTCATGGATTCTCTGCATAGCTTCTTTCACCTGTGTGAGGATCAAAACAGCTCTTTAATTCATCAGAAAATGAAGCAGGAGCAGCCAACTTAACAGACATTAAGAATGATTCGGCAAAGAAACACTCTTAGCGGATAGTGCAACGTTGGTTTAAATTTGTGTTATAATTCTGAAAAATTGAATAAAATTGGAAGCCCCCTGCATTAAACTAGTGTGCATATCATATCCAGAACACTCTCTTACCCCTGAATACAGCTCATTACCAAAGAGGGTTCCAACCATTAACTTAATGCAGTGCCACAAATTCAGCTTTAGGTGGCAGTAGTAACAACAAAAAAAGACATGAGAAGGCAGCAAAGCTCTCTAGGAAACAACAAGGCTTACACAGATCCCCTTTGATATCATACACAATTTTATCAGCTTTTTCAAAAACTAATCTCGTACATCCCAGCATGCGCCTGATCTGTTGAACTAAAGCAGTTTTAATCCAGTGACAAAAGGCATGTTCTCATTGTCTATTCCCATCCTCTGAACTGAGTTCTAAGCTGATATCTCTCTGGCTTGTAGAACTGGGCCTTGATTAAGACTGAACTATTTTACCCAGAGTATGGTATTACTCGCCTCAAGAAGAACAGGCTGCAGTATAGACAATGTTAAAATGTTAAAACTGCTGATCCAGTTTAGGTTCAACAGTGAGCCTGTAACTTATCCCAGGTAGTTCGGGGCACAAGGCATAAGGCAGGAGAATGCCCTGCATGGGATGCAAGTCAGAGGGCACACACAGACATTAACAATCATACCCAGAGAAAGCGAGCATCAACACAAGTAGAGAACAACTCCACATGCTTTAAAACATAGTTTTTTAAAATGAATGCCAAAACTTTGTTGACTCAAACCAAATTCGTAACTATGAATGATGTTTTTCTTTTTGCTTATGATTAAACAATCCTTTTATTCACCCCTGGGAAGCAGTAGGTGGAAATGAGTCTCAACATTCCCAAATCAGCCGGCTCACTGCGATTTAATACTTAACGTATCAGTTTTGTTTGGGTGCATTCTGTGATTCTGCCGATCAGCACGAGCCACATAAAACACCCGAGTGGCTGACAGCTGTCTGACGCAAGCTGAGGCCTGGGGGGGGGGTGGGGGGTGGCGGCTCCGCCTGGCCACCACAATCAGAATTGTCTCTGCTCATGATGCTAATGGAGTATGAGTCACAGTCAGACTCTGGCGTTAGACAGCTACAGCTCATGCCTGGACAACTGGGGATCCAAGGATCACGCCTCCCCCCAGGCAACCCACACAGGAAATATATATACACGTCTGGTAAACAAAGAGGACAGCAGCCAAAGGATTTTCAATCAATATTGCAATCAAATCAAAACAGCATCTTCCTGATCGTTTCATCTTCACAAGTTGAGCTTTTCCTATAATTAAAAATTAGGCTTTCTAAATCCAAGCTGCCGAAATTAAGAAATCTACCTTCCGTGTCAGTGCTGACAGTAACCGACACCAAAGCCTTCCTAACATATGACACCTTGAAATGATCCAACTGCAAGTTTCACTGCATCCAGGCCTTAACTCTCTTGCAAGCTGCGTTTCGGCCTTTGATGAAGAACCCAAGGCTGGTTACCAAACCGTTTCTACATTTATACCCATTGCTGCCTTTTGAACTGTAACAGACCGTCGTCAACACGCCCCCTCACCGTATTACTAATCAGCTCACATTCACCTGGGGCTCGTCGGCTGTGTGGACATCTGAGCCCCTATGACTTTGCCGTAGTCGCAAAGTCCTGTTTCTTGCTTTCAAGCTGTGATCTGAGCTTCAGTTCCAGTTTCTGTTTTTTTTTTTTGTGTGTGTGACTTTCCTCCCGTGTGTATGACCTACGATGACTCACCACTGTGCTGTTAGATCCTGATTGGTCACGACCTGCCTACCGACTCGGTGTATTGGATTTGTGTTTCGGAATACAGAAATAAAACTCACCGGTATCTATATCTGTTGGGAACCTTCCATTAGTATGCGAGCCACATGCTACATGGTAAGCCACTCTAAAATAATTCAAATGATTCTATTAAGCACCAAGACCTACCTAAACTTGCCATGTATGTATCCATACCATAAATTCATAGTGAAGGGCTCAAAACAGTTTCTGAACTTTGTTGAAAAACCACCTGATGAAAACGGAAGAGGCATAAACGAAGACGGCCCTGTGTGTACGAGACAGGACCCCCAGCACTGCCTGCCGTCTCCATTGCTATTAGGTGCCTCAGCTCGATACCTCACTACCTTTTGTGTGCCGGTTATTACCAATCCCCAAGGAAAGGCGATAAGCCGGTGACTGATTCTATGCCGGAGATGCCCCCTCATCCACCCCTCCCCGGCAGTGAAGCTAGACAGAGCCGGGAGATTGTATCACAGAGCAGATAGGCTGGGGGGCATCCTCCCACCCCCTCTGACGGCTTAACCCTGCTGATGGGTTACCCCCTCGTGGAAAGAAAGGGCTGCCGCTGGCACTGCTTTTAAAAGCTACAGTTTCACGTTAGCTGTTGCTGGGTGAGGGGGGCGTTCAATCTGGAAAAAGGCGATTTAGCAACACAGGTCTGTTACTTGGTTTGCTCTCTGTTTACCAAAATCTCTCAGACTGTGCCCTACAGGTGCAGTGATGGCTGCTTATCTGAGCCATTACCACAAGCTTAAGCATATAGAAGGCAATCAAGCACATAATGGTCAAGTAGTTTCTGGATGGTAAATAACATATGTGCAGCCATCAGGGTGTCTTAAAGGCACACAGTCACAGATTTCCTTTGAGTTTATAGTGGAATATTAAAGGCAGTGGAATCATTGCGAACGAGCACATGGGACTTTCATTGAACGAGCCAAAGCAGACGAAATGTCACTTTAGCAAGACGAACAAACTGTTTTTGGATTTAATCGAAGGGGATCCGCAGTGTGAGGAACACAGTGTAGCACAAAGCCAGGTGAACAAAGAGAAGCTGAACGGGCATTGAGAGTCCCTAAAATCGAAGAGGACTGCGATGAATTTTCACAAGAGAAAAACCTCATATAAGGGAAAACAGGTTCATTAACTTAGAAGGGTATTAATCTGTGGGATGGGTGATCTCCCATCTTCCAGGGGATTACTGCGCCTTTGTCATCATTTGTCTTTCAATAATGGCTAATCCTAAAAGTGATATTATACAGTATATTAAGTCAAAATTTAACAAAGGATCAGCAGCATTGACAAACATTTCTTTGAAATAACAACGAAATATAAAACTCAAATGGTGCGATTTAAAACTGCATGAAATAAACAAGATTAAAGGAACCAAATAATTTAGCAAATCAGTGTTTTCTACTGAGGTACAACTTAAATGTTCTCGCATAATTTTAAAATTGTCACTTTGTTAAAAATATTGTCTGCAGTATCACTAGCAAAGTATGCAAAGGAACTCCTAGCTCAAAAGCTCCTCTAATTTAATTTTAAAGGCGCTAATAAACTTTTGACCCATTTTTGAATATAGTGCACAATAAATTAAAGAAACTAATGTGTCAACTGCCTGCCTGCATGTAAAAGTACTTTTCTGCTTTTCATAAAATATATCTTACAAATTGCACTGTTTTTGTAATATGCTGAACGGCATTATCGCCCCGGACATTAGCAGGAGACATACAATTTTATTATCCTCCTGATAGGTGTCAGTTAATGAAAGCTTGTGGGCAAGGAGAAGGAACATAATTCGGTGTAATATGAAAAAGTCGATTCCATGGCTAATGAAGTGATACAAGAAGTTAAGCTGGCAGATAATCCATATTTTACTCTCATTAGTGTCACTGACAGAAATACTAGGGACAAGGTGAGAGTAACTGTTAGCTTCTATTCACAAATTTATGGTAAAAAGCAACACATCTGCTGGAGTGTCTAATGACTCAGATCTCTCTCTAAATATAACACTGTGCTGAATACTTTCACTGTTTCTCACTGAAGTGAGACCTAAGTGGTGAATAACCAAAAAATCCTTTACTTCCAAACTGCTTTGAGACAAATTCTCAATAAAAATGTATTATTTTTCAACCAGATACCTAAAAGAGGCTTAAAGATTGCAAAAATTCACAACCCATCTGCATTTCTTTAGCAATTAACCATCAATTTTCTAACTATTATGTCTGTCTGTCTTTCATATTATTTTTTTGTCAATGCTAGTAGTTTTGTTGAAGAAATACATTTTCCCGCCCCAGGAAGAAGACTGCTGTGGAAATAAAATGCTTTTACAAACACATTTTTTAAATGTATACTTTCAGGTCTGGGCTGGGATACGAAATGGTCATTAAAGGCTTTATCGTTCAACTTTTTGGATGAAGCTGCAACATCAGAACTCCACAATTCACAATGTGATTTAAATAGTCTCACCTCTCAAATTACTGCAGTGTCATCTAACAGCATTTCGTGGACTGGTACCTTATTATAACCCTAACCCCTTAGCGAAAATGATTTTGCGGAGATTTTTCCAAAACCATCACTTCAAAGAAGTGCTCCTAACATCAAGATCAGTCTGAGTGGTCACTGAAATATCTAGTTGATTCTGCCTTTACAAAAAAATTTAAACTAGCCTACCTTCCTACCAGACCCCATATTCTATCCAAACCATTTATTCATTATTTTGCAAACAATAGCACCCATGCTTTTGAAAACAACATAAAATAATCTATATATGCATGATCACCCCTTACATAATTATTTTCAAGATAAAGACCCTATATTTTGGAAAATTATAAAACATGATTAAGTCTTGCACAAAAATAGCAACTCCCCCAGCAACAGCAACAGACACGTCCTCAACCCAGTTACAGCATTTTTCAGAAATGATCAGGTGAAAACCTCTTGAAAACAGGCCTGGAGTGGAGTGTGTTAGCTTAAATACTCTCTGTCTATGTCTAATCAGTTTTAAGTGGAAAAAAAATCTTTTATTGCATCTTTTAAAGGACTCCTTCCAATTAATTGCTCGAACCCTTTCAGTCAGGCTTTCAAGCTTGAAACAGGGGATTTCCAGTGGGAGTTCAAGTTAGATATAATTTTCTGTCAGTAGCTAATACTCAATCTGCGACCACCTTTTTACAGCTAAACCAGAGTGCAGCATTTGATACGATCAACACGTTATTTCTCTAAAACGGAATCTCTTTGCATTTCTGTGAAGCATTCATCCAGCGCTCCTGCTTTTCCGATCAGTTCCTGGAGCCAATCCCAGAAAACATATGGCGCGAGACACGGCACACCCCAGACGGCACGCCAGTTCCACGAATCCCTCGCACGTACACGTACACAAAGTGTGACCTGAACAACATGTTTTTGAATTGTGGCAAGGAACCAACCGAGACAGATCCCAGTGAACAGAGGGAGAACATCCAAAATCCTCACCAAGGGAGCTGGGCCTGAATTCTCACTCGAACCACAGAAGCTCTGAGATGACAATACTACTAAGCCGCTCAGTTGCTGCATCATACACCAGATGTTCAAATATTATCTCACTTATAAAACCCAGTCTCTCTGTTATTATGTATTTCCAATTTCCAAGCTTTACCGCCAATAAAAGTCGCAGACATGCATATAAATGAACATTTATCATATTTACTAATATTTACCCATCAGTCTTCCACTTACCCAGCAGAGGGTCACGACACTCATGGCTTTTGAATTTAGAGATCTCCCATGTATTGCCCATCTGCTTTAACAAGATCAACAACTAAAATGTGACTAAGCAACTCAAAGGAGTTTTCCGTCACCTCAGAGATGTGATTACAGACGACATTACAGGAACGAGGCCACGACGTGAGGGAGGAATCACTCTGTAGAACACAGTTAATGCTCGGCTGTCGCAATCCTACCTCTTGCACAGGTAGTCCTAATATTTCACCGTTGGGTCCACTGAACTTTCAACGCATCTGAAGAAACCAGCCAACGGCTTCCCTCCTTGGTGCTGAACCTCAGACTCTATTAGTGATGTTGTGCTACCCAAGAAATAAAGAAATAAATCAATACATCTTTACTCGTCTTCTCTCGTTTTGGGTATGCCTCTCTTTTACATTTCTCAGTATAGGGTTAAGAAATTGTTCACTTTCATCAAACCTCCATCACAGAACATATTTTTCAAATTCTTTGCCAGCTAGTGATTTTAATGCAGCTGAATACCTCTAAAAATGCAGTTTAGGGAAATGCAAAAAACTGCAATAGTTGTCATGCGACACACACAAAAAAAAAATGGCCGCATGCTTTACGGATCCAATCATTGGCTGCCGTTAATAAATAACGGACCCTGTACACAGTCTCCCCCCCCCCCCCGCCCACTCAAGCTGCCAAAGAAAAACAAGAGCCTTTTTCTACCCATTCCAGTCTGGCAGCGCCACTCGCAGCCTCTCCCATGCATACATTGCCTGTCGAACCCTGCAGAGCCAGCAGGGTCCGGCTTGCCCGCGCCCACTCCACCATAATGAGGCCCTTCACGGGTTTTTGGTTTCTGAGAATATGCTGCACGTCGCTCGGTGCCCCCTGTGCCCCGACGGAGCCTGGACAACGGTGCTGAAGTTTCCCATGGAAAACACGGCTTGTCCGGCCAAGGCCTCTGCAGGGCTGACAAAGAGACCTCGAACAATGAAATGCTGCTGTCTTGTGGGATGCCTACCGTGTAAAAACATGAGCTACGACGGCCCTTTTTAAGCCACACAGCAACAAGCTCATGTTTTTCCCACCTTTATCCAAAAGCTAGTCTAGTGTGAAACATTCTTACTTAAGAAAAACAGTCATAATAACAAGATTATACTAATGCAGGATCTTCATGAAAATAAAGGGATTTTTGTGTTTTTTTATATCTATGTATTCTTTCAAAATTTTAGAGCTTTGGAAATTATTAGTACTATTGTGAAACCTATCCATCCTCCAACTGTTTTTCTAGTACTGGGTCCGGGGCGGCGTGGACCCTATATCAGGCAACACTCGGTACAGAGGAATGTCCAGGATGGGGTGCGAGCCCATTGCAGAGCACACACACACATGGGTAATTTATGCAAATTCACCAAACTGAATGTTTTTGGACTGGGAGAAGAAACTCCACACACACACACACACACACACACACACACACACACACAAACACACAGGTTATATCATTGTGAGGACTCTCCATTCATATCTTTAGGGAAAACTCTAATCCCAACATCACGACCGTAACCCCTATCCAGTCCTAACCTTAACCATAAGTAACCAAACAAATATAAAGTAACCAAAACCTGAAATATGGTCCCCTCAACATCAAAATAACAGATTTTTATTACATTATGAGGAACATTTGGTCCCCACAATGTAATATAAACATAACACACACACACACACACACACGTGAAACCCCCAGTCCTGGGAGTGTGAGGTACTGTAGCTCTGCTACCCACTGAGTCACCCTACGGAACTAACAAGGAAGCAAATTAATTGGTAACCCTCTTCACTTCGCTGAGATCCTCGCCAAGCTGGGGGAAGTTTGTGCCAGAAACTTCTTTTTGGACGACAAAATATACTGTAATAATTTAAAGCTTAGTTTTAAAAAGTTTTTTAAAAATATGGAAAATAAACACGGAGAGCTGGCATTTCAGGATCACTGTGCATTTCATAAACATCCTAAAGGGAAAACTTAACACGAAATAATGGTTAAAATAATGTTAAATAAAAATAATGATAAATAATAAATAACGGTAAGATAATGGTTAGCCGATGACCCAGAGTACCGCTACATCCATCCAGATATCAGTGTGTCTGTGCCTCTTTGATGGCCGCACCAACAAAGGAGTTATTAATTATGTTTTTGCACTAAAGCTGTACTGAGAAACAGGAAAGAGAGCCAACGAGGCCCACATGTTACTGCTGTGGCATGAAGGCGCACTGAGAATAAACATAAAACAAGCTTCACCCAGCAACTAGCTTCATATCTAGTCTTTAGACACAAAGGTACCAGCTGAAGCAACAGTGCACTCTTCAGTGGTAACTCTGCCATTGGTGTCAGATCAATCATTAGTGATCAGTCAGGGGGTTAATAGGCTTTGGGTAATCCCAGCTTCAGCTACAATGTACACTCAGCTCCATTTCCCACACATTAGTCGCTCGAAACACAGGACGATCCGTATGAGAAAAGGACACGTTAAACTCCATGAAGGTCAACAGCATCGAGAGGAACTTCAACTTGCAGAAATCGCAAAACCCTACTTTACTTTCTAGCTTTTAAAAGGAGTTTGAACACCGACCATCAAAATGTCTAAGAAGGTGATTTCTGGGTCACTGGAGGCAAACAACAGCTATGTGTGAGATGTGTGAGAATTTGGGCCATTCACACTGGGCACTGTCGCTAGGCCCACAGCTTGCATGCAGCTTCACTACCTCCATCCGCACTGGGCA